TACTCTACTCTCTCTCTCTCTCTCTCTCTCTCTATATATATATATATATATATGTTAAATTATTAGTTAATAGTATTATCTCTCCTCCCCCCCTCCTCTCTCTTATATATATATATATATATATATGTATATACTTATTAATATTATTATACATATATATACTTATTAATACGATTTAACATAATGATTCTACCTGTAAAACAATGCATTTGTATTGGCATGCATTGGTATGTATTACATTGCATTTTATGTATTAATATGCGTTCTATTTGAAAATAGATGACGGGGACTTACCTGGTTTGCAAGAAAGTGTATGTAGAGAGCACTGGGTACGCCCAGGAGGAACGTCATCAAACCAATCACAACAGAGGACACATCTCGTCTCACTGCAAGTAATCAAACGACACGGTTAATTGGTGGATTTAAAAACAATGGCACATGTTGTGCCAAATGGATAATTGAGGAGCCTAAAATTATAGCAAAGAACTTCAGTTATAATTATGTACTTTTTTCAGCTATGGTGTTACGAAGAAACTTTTTTCAGGCCAACACTATGTCCAAGAATTTCTTAGGCCCTGTATTGTGTATCGTGATTGTATCTTGCATTGGAATCTCCTTTTTTAGTACAATGTTTCGGTCACAATACAATATGTTTTATCAGAGAAGTCCACCTACTTAATATGTGACAGTAATGGCTAACACTATCAATAAATCATCAATCATTTATGTTTGTTACATTGTTCACTTCTATTGATAAGTTTTCTGTTATGCCGAAAGAACATCGTGTTGGACATTGTTTAAAGCTATCCAATGACAATATGCCCCTACTGTACTTGGTGACAGCAAGTTCCACCCTGCGATAGCTCTAGGAAAGAATGAGTTTTTGAACACCTCAATCCTTGGTTGATAACTCTGGTACTTGAAGGCATGGCCATTTCTTGTTCTCTTCTGGGCTGGTATTAGGTACTTAGTAATTGGGACGTCCACCAGTTTATTGGTCATTTTGTACATGACATGACATATTGTAGGGAAAGAGAAATTTTTATACGTAAGGCCATGTTGATTTGATTATATGGATGACATCCGCGCGCGCATGAATTTTGGTCCGTTTCCAATCAAAAAAAGTTTTCGACCATACTGTAAATCGTACAAAATGAGCGAAGATATGTCGCATGTTGCAAAAAAATATTGAAAAACGATACCAATGTCACAGAATACTGAAATCAATTCAGGAAAAGAAGAAAATGGCATTGTGAAGAAATGAAAATGAAGAGTCTAATACAATTCGCCACACCATACTCTGTGTGTTTAGTCATTTGTTCAACCTTTATTTCATAATGAAGGAAACTTTTTTTTGCCAAACTTTTTTTATTCGCACGCTCGCATCAGTTTTGGGGTTCCCAGAGGATGTGATCCATATAATCAAATCAACATGGCCTAAGTGCAAAACATACCTCCCCAGTCGACCAGCACCTGTGCAGTACTGTTCATCACTGTGACGTAGCTACTGAAGCCTGCCACCACCACCATCAGGAAGAACAGTGACGCCATCACACGGCCACCCGTCATGGTGGAGAACAGGATCGGCATCCTGTAAAAAAACATGTTCATCTTTTAAGCCTCGGTCACAACCCGCCGTACGTGCTTTTTGTCCGTACGTTTTTTGGGATGTTACGTCTGCTACGTTTCTTTCTGAAAACGTAGTGGCATCGACGCACGTCACTCGCACGGTTTCGCAAGGTGTAAGAGTGTGGTCTGCACGCCACGTCTGGCCGTGAGCGCGTGCGTGCATCGTACGTTGCGCAAGTGGTAAGTGAGTTGTACGTGCTTACAACGTCGCGATTGCAACTTTACCGTAAGGAGGCCGTACTCATACGTGCGTCTTTCGTACGGTACGTACGGGGCACGCACGGGTGGTGAATCCGCAGACCGCACGTAGAAAAAGTTTTACATGCACTTAAAGTTCTACGGCGTGTCTGCGTGCTCCCAAATCCGTAGAACTCCGTACGGAGGTGGTACTCACCACGCACGGATGCCCTACGTTTGCCCACGTTTCTGCACGTAGACAGCACGCAGATGCACGTATGGCGCGGGTTGTGGCCGTGGCGTTAGGTGTCATTCCAACATTGCCCGGGTAGATAAAAAAAACTTTTTCCTTGACAATAAAACCATAATGATGATTCAGCCTAGAAGCTGGATCTATGAAATGCAAAAGAAGTAAATGAGTGAAACAATAGATACAGTTATGAAAAGAAATTTTACCAGATGAAGGTGAGTCCAGTGTTGGCAGGGCCGTTTGTCTTCAGAAGTTTCATCAGGTCATCTTTGTCGCCTCCTGGACTGACTTTAGTCCACGTAGAAAATACAGTAGAGAAGATCATCATCCCAGCCATTAGACTGTAAGAAGAAGATACAAAAAAAATTTACTAAAATTAAAAAAAAATGAACTGCAATCAATGTATTTACAATCAATGTGTATTCACATACAGTATGTCATGGTAAGAGACAAAAAGCATAACTGAAACTATAGCAGGAAAATATTTTTGGCGACGTCTCAGGGAGGAGCCTAATGGTACAGTATTGTGTGCAATTCGCAAGAATTCTAGGAATTGTACAGGCATTTTGTCCACAGGAATGGAATGTCCACAGGCATTTCCCTGACCCACATCTATGCCCACATTCCTGGAAATCCTTGGGAAGACCCAGAAGACCTGTCTGCCACGGATGGCCCTACTTTCTGTGACCCCGGGGCTCGTTCACTATACACTCGGGGGAGGAGTGCACTGTATCTGTCTTGCTCAAAATCATGAAACGATGGCAGTGCCATGCAAACAATAACCCTAACATGAACCACCGTCGCCATGGCAATGTATGTTTTCATTGCCAGTCTTGTTTTGTTTCTAGTCTCTATTTTTTGTGAGCATTGCCAATTTCTTCTGCGTTTACAGCAAGATTTTATATGCTGGAAAGAAGTAGCTATTTCCGACAAGCAGAAAGTTCTCACCTTACAATGTTGTTGAGTGTTGGGATGAGAATGCCTGTCTTCACAGGTCCCATGCTTTTGGTCATACTTGCTCCGTACACTAGGAAAACACCAGATGCTGCCGATGTATCCCAAGCGTTCTGAGACAGGGCATCAATCCATACTCTTGGCGTACCTAACAGTTCTGTAGAATATCAAAGATGAAATATTATTATAATAGTTATCATTATGCTTACCGAAGGAAAACGTATCGTTTTTGCTCTGTTTCGTCTTCCGTTCCAAACACTGACCTGGTCAATGACCTGGCCCATACCGTCTGTTACCATGGTTACTGGTGTTGGGTTACATAATGTTGCAATTTTATAGTAGGAGGGATTTACACTCCTGTCACCATATATGTGAATGTGTTTGAGTTAGACTTAACAGAGCAGAACATATGCGAAGGTAAACATTATGCATCTGCTTGTCTAGTTCTAGACCGTGAGAGATATCATAAAATAAAATCACTAGCTACATGTACAATCCTGATTTGCTACAGAAATAAAAAAAACACATATACAATAGAAACAAAAGAACGTGCATCATCTACAGCCCAATAGCAAAACATATACCGAGTCTCAAAAGAATCCGTCCACCCAAACGCTAGAAACTGCTGCGAACATGAAAATCTAAATCTCTTACAAAGCCCTTCCGCGGAAGGATGTCTCCTTCCCCGGAGGTAATAATGCTATGTTCTGAAGTTTAAAATAAAGAGGATGATATTTACTCCAGTCTGGTGTAAAAATGTAGGCAAGGGCAGATCCGGCATTGTGTTGAGTTAGAGCCCAGATAAACGCTGTGATGACCAGAATGAAGAGTCCAGGCATCAAAATTTTCATAGCAGGTTCGATGGTGTCTACTCCTTTCCACATCACAATGACACATCCCACAGTGACTATGAAGTGTAGCAACACTGGCCAGCTGCTTTCCTGTTGTAATGAATTCGAACAGAAACAAAACATCGTATCTGCTAAACAGCTATAATAGTAAGGCCACACCAAGTAAATTTTATGGATGACGTCCTTTGGAGACCCTAAATCTAATGCGAGAGGGCGAAAAAAAAACAAGAAGGGCCCTAAAAACAAGATGCCTAGATCAGAAATATACTAAGAGACGACAAATGTTAGGACACAAATTGAATGAGGTGACACAGTGTAACAAGCAAGAAGTCTTTTATTCATCATCAAAACAGCAATAAATCAGGTGGAACAGCAGTTGTCGTCCTGTCCTGTTTTTGCGTTCCGGTTTTCATGTCAATCTGACGATTTGCGGCACTGTCGTGACTCTTTGGTCATAGTTACAGGAAGCGGAATTCCTTGTTTTTTTCTAGGAACAGGCCAAAATCAATGCGCGCGCGGACGTCATCCATAAAATTTACTTGGTGTGGCCTAATGATAAAACCAATACACAAGTGTTCAGATCAGATTTTAAGATTGATGTAGATAACATCTTTGTTACAGATACGTCGATGAAGGTTAGACATCCAGGTAATAAGATACACCAAAAATCAGTTACTCAAGCATATGATTTTGGAAACGGTCAGACGTTGACGAAAGCTAGTGGATACTACGTGAAATATCTGACCATTTCTAAAATCATATCCAATTACTTGAGTAACTGCTTTTTGGCTATCTTTGTTATAGAGTTTGAGAAAACGTTGTAGCAAGATCCACATTTCTATGTCCATATCTTATGTTCGTATGTTGCTTTGAATTACTAGGATGAGAATGTTTAGTGTCTTTGTTTCTATTTTTCAGCATATTGTAACGTTAAGAACTAGACTAACCTCAGAGAAAGCTTTCCATATCTCGCTACTCTCATCAAATGTTGTTGGTAAGGGGTGAAAGATGCAGTAGTACATGTAGTACACAGCCCATCCGACGATGACTCCGTAGTAGCAACTGTAGAGAACAGATTACATACATTTGTAACTTATTACCTCCATGAAAAATGGAGGTATTGTTTTTGGCGTGTCTGTGTCTGTGTGTCTGTCTGTGTGTTTGTTTGTGTTTCCGCACATTTGTAGTCAGCATACCTTCATAACGCCTTTATGGATTATGATGATATTTGGTATGTTGGTAAGACTTAGGAAGACAAAGGTCAAGGTCAAATATGAGTTTCCTGGTGGATGACCTTGGTACTGCAGCAGAACTTCCGGTTTTTGTATCTTTTGTCCTGAACATGCTGACAGATTGCTTTTCCTGTCAGGAATACGTGGTGTGGGTTTGGTCTCCCTAGCAGCTTGTATAACAAAAAAAAAAACATTTACAAAATATATTTCATGGAGGTATGAGATCTAAGAATTCTTGTTTGCCTGACAAAAAATTTAAAAAAAATCAAACATATTACACCATTTGATACCTAGTATTATTGCTCAATATCACAGATTGTAAGCCTGGTTACAATATGGAAATTGAAAATATATATATACCATTATAATTGTGGACCTTATTAATAAAATTAGAAGGAAAATTCATATCTACTAATCGTATTGGATTCCAATGATCTGTCGGAGAGGAAAAATTTTTCTTACTTTGTGAAAAAGACAACTATGCTTATCCACCCTCCAAGCCATGTGGACTTTACTCCCAGAAGGTCGTGGAAGGCCATTGGTGGAGCCCTCTTGGTGAATCGACCAATGGCGTACTCCATAATGATAATTTGAATGGACCATAGGAACAGAAACATCAACCAGACCAGCAGAAAATGCAGACATCCTGGAAAACATCAGAAAACACGTTTTGATTTTTGTACACAATATTTTCTAATAATTTGTTGTCTTCATAAGGTCATAGACCTTTGACTTAGTTTCCCTGCGGTGGCGAAGTTACTTCTGCATTTGTTACGTTTCTTTGCGGTGTGATGCGTTGCACGAGAAATACCCCCAAATCGAATCGTACATACAGAGTGTGCTATATAGATGGTATTGTATGTGCAACCCTCCATTTCCCGTGGGTTATCAAGAAATAAGAACCTAAAAAGTAGGCGGTTATTCAGATAACCGCCCACTTTTTGGACCGTACCATTATACGGGGGACAGGACACTAACAGTAGTGTTAAGACTTGTAGTATCCATTTATTAGAAACGTATTGTAATCTATTTTCAATATTTTTTCTAAATACAGCACAATTAAATGAAATGAAATTTGATCAGAAAAATACAAGAAAAAAAAATTGGCAATCGTTTCACTCGGTGGTTTATTCGGTGGTTATCGCTCCCGATCAGGGATTATCTTACGATATACACCTCGGGTCGGGGCATTAACCCTTTATTAGTACCTTGATCTCCACTATTATTGGCTAGAATCCTCGGGAAGCGCCAGAGGTTGCCAGTCCCTACAGCTGTCCCCAGGCTGCTTATGATGAGTCCGAAGGTGGAGGAGAACTTTCCAGTCCGGTCTGTGTTCTGCTGAGTCTGTGGTGCAGTCTGGAAAACAGCTTGCAGACCAGGGTCGTCAGGATCCTACAGTGTGGATAAATGTGTGGTCACAAACAGGCAATTTGCCGTGTGGCATAACGACAGAACGTTTGGTTCGGAATCAAGAGGTCCCGAGTTCGAATCCGAATCCCGAGTTCGAATTCTGTCATGTCAGAAGTCTTGCAAACTACAGACAATACTGTACCATTAGGCTCCTCCCTGAGACGTCGCCAAAAAATCTTAACCCGACACCATGTCTTGTACATGTATTAAATGTTGGAATAGAAAAAAAGCAATGTTGTATCAAGAAGTTGAACCGTTCTTTATCCAGAACCCTACTCAGACACGGAAGCTTGGGCGCGGCGAACAAGAATTAATCTCCACCAGACCTCTTTGCAGGCTGAATGGATTGTACAAATCGGCCTAAAAAGGAATGTAACTGACCATGGATACGGGCAAATTGGGCACTCTATTGCCAGCCAACTCCACTGGCCGATTTCTACTATTTATTCAGCCTGCAGCTGAATCTGGTGGAGACTAAACAAGAAACATCCTCGGGCAAACTACTAGTAACACGTCAGCAGAACTCCACATTGAAAAAGGCAGACAAAACCGCATTCCTCTAGAGCCAAGGATTTGCCAATTTTGCGATTTAGATAAGATTGAGGATGAGTATCATTTTGTAGTCGATTGTACGTTATATAGTAATGAGAGAGATTCCCTATATTCTTATATACTAGATAAGTTCCCCAGCTTTGGACATTTAAATGAAGTAGAAAAATTCAGATTTCTTATGAAACTTGACAAATCATGTATTATTAGTGACATATGCTCGTACATCCATAACTGCGTCAAGAAGCGAGAAGAAGTTGAACATGTAAATAACAGATCACATTAGTATGTATAGTTAAAGGTCATTCCTGTATCCTTTTCCTTGTCTATTCATGACCTGTACTTAGCTTGTTAGAGCACAAACGTACAATAAAGTTCTTTCATTCATTCATTCATAACGTACTGCGTCTGAGCAAAATCCTAATTTTTCCCGTTTTTCCTTTGGATGTTGGTCACCGTTGCATCATAATTTTGCCTGTTATCCTTTCTGACATAACATTTGGAAACTACTGACGGGATGTTAACCTTATACATGCGAATACGACCTTATATGAGACGTTCTGCCGAAGTGCTATGTACGAGTACAATACATTACGGGATTCGCATAGGTGCTGTACGTTCTGCGGACTTTCTGGCAAGTCTACGTTCGTGAAATCTATCCAGAACCGTTGAAGACCCTAGCCCATTTAGGCCTAGAACTATATATACTTTGTCTAGTAGATAGGCATGGTTCTGAATACAATTTTACAACATTGTACTCACAATGCACGAAAAACTGCGATTTGCTAATATCTGTATTCAATAGAATACTATAGATGTAGCAAGACACTAGGCTGAGTACTGCGTTACGTTCTATTTCTTAGAGTACCGTAAATGTAATGTTGAGTATAGATTTACACATGTACTTTGCAGTTCTTAATTTTTTAATCAAAATTTAATGCGAATTGTCTTCTTACCACAAGCAAGTGTCTTCATTTCTTTTTTAACTCAAGACTCCTGATATAGTACCGTAACTTAGACTTTTGCAAATAGTCTATAGATGTAGGATTATTTGTATTTGTACACCAGCTCATTATGTACCTTTGTCATTTCTTCTTCTTATTATTATTACTTTGTTTTATTGTTTCCTTTTATGTGTGAGGAGAGGGCTGAGATAAGTTTTATAACTTTTTGCCCAATCCTCGAAAAATAAATGTGAATAAAACAAATAAATAGATGTAGTTGTTACGATTGTGTGTATAACTACATGTACATGTTTTACATTGTAATCTATTGTGCTTTTCAGTCACTGCTGAATTGGGTGTCAAATCCATAGGGAGTACTCTGATAAACGTATTCCCTAAGACATTATAATGTCCTTGGTATTCCTAATTAGGGGTGGGCCAAAATACATTGTTTCAGGCAAAAAAAAAAAGAACTAAGGTTTCTTGCCAGCGTACAAACTGTACATATTGTACATAAAGCGTTGAAACATAAATGGTTACTTATAATTTAGGGCTGACAGAATATAGACACATATTATATAGATAGTAATTATAAAGAGAACAGAAAGTTTTATCAGAGAATAAAAAAAATCTTGACAAACTGTATCCATGTCTTTCACAATTTGTAATCTTTTACTCAAGCTCTCATAATCTATGTATATGACAATATTTGTATATATTTGACATGTAATAGAGTCCACTTATAAATTCTTATATTTCTTGGTTCAATTGCATACAGGTGTGTGATAGAATTTGGGGTGGGGAGGGGGGCACATCCTCTCTTTGCTTTGAACTAAGTTGGTAGGACTGTCGTACAAAGTAGTACGATTTAGCATAGCCCGATATTTAATAGTACAAGGGGAAGACCAAAAAAAACAACAACTAACAACATCACTTGATATAACTTATGATAGGTATTATATAGGTATAAGTAGCCAAAACTCACCTTTTTGACCAATCTTGTTCTCTCAGATTTTCCTTCGTACGCCATATTGGGTTGACTGCTTGGGTTTTGAATGGCTTCTCGCTGAATTAACTATATATATGGGCTGGTTTGGATCCGACTACATCGAAAAACCGGTTTTGGCGACACGTAATGGGGGAATCTGAGTTGTCTGTATGCTATGGTATGGTTCAGGTGACGGTTGCATATCACAATGACATATGAACCCATTTTTGTTGTTTTTTGTTTAGAGGAAGAAATCCGATTATGACGAATCCCAGGTATTTCACTCTTTGATCGTAGAAGTCTACATATAATGTTTATGAAAACGTGAATCGTTAGCTGACCTGATTACTAGTTGCTGTAGCTGACTTGTTTCATGCTCTACTGAACAATTAGCATATTAATGTAAACAAAAGAAGTCTTCTCGCTGCTAGAGTATATAAGGTGTAATGCTTTTTTGTCGACCTGGTACGAGGGTTATGTACCTTGCAATTTAACAAGAACCCTATTCTTATGGGAAATGTAGACAATTGTGAGAAAAATACGGTTTACATTCTGCATTACTAGTTTGAAAATTATTGGGAAGCGCCATCTAGCGATTGGAAGTAGAATGGGTCAATATTGTCACAGACAGAATAACCGATATGTTGACAAATACTATTGTTATAATTATTATTTTTTTATTCCAACATCTAATCACAAGACGTGGTGACGACACACTCATTTTTTTCAACTTATATTAATGCCTCCACCAACACAGGGGACAATACAATACTCATTTACACCTGAGCTAAGTGAGGAAAGCCGTGTAAAGTGCCTTTCCCAAGGGCACAAGATCGGTGGCATGTCAGGACTCGAACCCGGGACCTGTTGATTCCGAGTCGAGCACTCTGCCGCCACTGACCCCACTATGGTTATGATTGGTTGTATACGAGCAACTTTAATTCTTGGTTCTAAATTTTCGTTTTACATTTCCCAAAAAAATCATTACACTTGAATAAAAAATTTATTTTATTTTTTTTTTTCAATTTTCAATTCAGTCATGTTCATTACTGAGGTAAAAACTTCCAAAAGTGTTACGGCCTGATAATTATTGGGAAATGGAGGCTTCTCATTGGTTGACGTCGCACGGCTATATGATTATTACTTATTATTTGTCATCAATATACCAGTTCTAGTTCCTTTTGTTCTTCTTTTATTTATTATTCATTTGCACATAACAAACTAACAAAATGGTAAACTATGACAACAAAAAAGGTAACATATAGACTTAAAATCTAATGGTCTCTCATACATATAAATGTATTGTAATACCATTTATTTTTAAATACATATATTAGAATATGATTAGCCAACAAATAATTGATAACATATTGGATGATGAATTTTAACCAGGTGCTAATAATACATAGACCAGTTAAATGTTTAACTTCACATCTGCCTGAAATATTTCTGAGTTTCTGATATCATAAAATAACCAACAGATAAAACAAATAAATCAAACTGAACAAACAAAAAAAAGGTAAAACGTAGTTAAATCGTCAAACGTACAAAGGAAAACAATAAATATATTCAAATGTTCATTTTCAAATTTATGAAACATTTAGAGCGTTTGGTACTGAGGTATTCTTTTCTTCTAAATAATTCAAAAGCATTAGAAACATGGTAACGTGGAACTGACTCTAACAAAAAAAGGTAGAAGTAAAATATAGACTTAAAATCTAATGGTATAAGGCCTTCTCATCTTTAAAGTTACATATAATGTATTGTAATACCATTAATTTTTAAATACACATATTAAAATTTGACTAGCTAACAATAATTGATAACATATTGGATGGTAAATTTGAACCGGGTGTTTATACATGAATAGTTAAATATTTAACTTCACATCTAAAATATTAGAGTTTCTAATGTTATAAAATAACCAAAAGATAAAACAAAGAATTAAATAAACTAAATGAACAAAAAATGAAAAAAATAGTTAAATCGTCAAATGTACAAAGCAAAACAATAAGTATATTCAAACGTTCATTTTCAAATTTATGAAACATTTAGAACTTTAAATTTGGTGCTGAGGTATTCTTTTCTTCTAAAAAATTCAAAAGCATTAGAAACATGGTGACGTAGAATTGACTCTAACAAAAAAAAAGGTAGAGGTAACATATCGACTTAAAATCTAATGGTGTAAGGGCTTCTCATCTTTAAAGTTACATATAATGTATTGTAATACCATTAATTTTTAAATACACATATTAAAATTTGACTAGCTAACAATAATTGATAACATATTGGATGATAAATTTAAACCAGGTGTTAACACATAAATAGTTAAATATTTAACTTCATATCTGAAATATTTGAGTTTCTAATGTTATAAAATAACCAACAGATAAAACAAAGAATTAAATAAACTAATTTAACAAACAAAAATGACAAAACAGATGGTTAACTTCATCAAAAGTACAAAGAAATAATATTAAATACAAATAAAAATGACCATATTACATGACTAAATTCCTACACATTCGTTCTCTTCTAATAGTCTTAACTTTTCATATTCTAGAGTGTTAAACTGGTCCTCTTCTACCTTGTTACAACAGTTACTACAGTTGGTTATTTTGTCCTGTACGGATATAAGCGATGACCAATGCCTGGATATTGATGTTTGGCATCGCACAAAGATGACATTTAGTCCCACCAAAATGATGACTAGCACCGTCCACTGTCGATGAAAAAGAAAGCATTAGATATAAAAATGCATACATTGGATCTGTCAATATAAAAATGATACAAATGGTCGTATTAAGTATGTGCAATATTCTTGCTCTTGATAGAAAGACTAAAACAAATCTCATGATTGTGTTTACCAAAGGAAAACATATTGTTTTTGCTCAGATTTCTCTTCTACCTCTTCTTCTCCAAACCAAAAAGGTAAATGACCTGGCCTGTCACCATGGTACTCGTAACTCCTGTCTGACCATATATATGAATGTGTTTGAGTACGAATTAACAGAGCAGACCAATGCGAAGGTAAACATTATGCATTTCCTTTGCAAATGTTACCTTTCTGGTTTGAACTTGAATTCTTTGCTTCTTTTCTTTTTGGTCCTATCACAAACAATATATTTTTACATGATAGTATGTACGTAATGCATGTGGAGTGGGAATCGAACCCTTAACCCCTATGATTTTTTACCTCTAGAATGGCAGTCATCAAGGACTGGTTCCCAAGTTGATACCATGGTACATCAGCGGACTGGATAGTTTGCGCCACCCACCAAACTAGCAGCACAGTGCCATTTAGTACTAGGACGTACCTAAAAAATCATAAAAATAATGGGCTTCTTAAAAAGAATATATGGCAGCCCAAAGACTGAATTACATGTTCCGTACTTTTGATACATCTGACACACGAAGAAGTCTATCATACTTCATTGGTTAAAATCACAGACAAATCCATTAGAATATTACAAGCTTAGCTAAAATATACGTATCAAGAAATTCGAAGTTCATGTGACTACGACTAAATGTGGTCTAGAGACTATAAAACATATACTGAAACGCTATATTTTAATTCTAAGTGCTAAAAGTCAATCTATTACAATAATACTATAACTTATCATCTACTGTTAATCGCCATTTCTTCTCTCTTTTTTAAACTTCTGGAACATTCTAAACAAAGACTTGGTAATCATAGGATGGTAAGATTATAATTACTCACTTTGTCAGATAGTCAAACACTCTGGGTAGTTTCCAGTCACTTCCATCCCCTGCCTGGGGAATAGAATAGATAATCGTTAGTGCTATGTTTGAGAAAGACAAGGTGCTTCTTTAGTAGTTGTCTAAAGGGGTAATAAGCAGTGCACAGATACTGTCTACAAGTACCTCAGATTAAGAGATACAGTAAATATGTATCATATATTTTAAATATATGATATAGTCATAACTGGACACCTAAGAAGATTAACTGAGAGGGGCGAAAGAGGCTAGTTACGGCCTATCACTCAACCGCGACGGGGGACGACATGGTCTACCAGATACATTTGACCCAGTGTTGACGTCACACTTTAGACAAGCCACGTGACAAGTCTCACTGGGTCAGTCTACTGAGGAACACCAGAGTGACTGGTCGAAAACTCTATGCAAGAACAATCTTTTGTGTTGGAACAAAAGTTTTACCTTTCAACGTGTAACTATACCAACAGGGATGAATTTTCATGACAATATTTGAAATGCAAGTTGAATCAAAACACGAAGACCGAATAAAACTTAACAGTTTCGTTGATAAATTGTATTCATCGCGACAAATGTAAGTTAGTGTAAGTGTTGTACCTGGTTGAGCATGTTCAAGCGGAATTCCGGTGCACCATATCTCGAGAGCAGGTAAATCATAGAGAGCCCAGAAAAGATGAGTCCAGCGCTCCAAACAAAGTCCTGAAGAAAAAAGTGCATTTTGAAAGACTCGAGCTGTCAAGATTTTTCCTCACATTTTACGTTCGGAAAGTACGAAACAAATTGCCATGAAACTAATTACGTTTTATTACAGTAACTATCTATTATATGTAAATCGGCAATGGTTGTTAGGTTTTATTACCTTACAAGCAGCTATATAATGTAATTATACAATTAGTAAATGATTATCAAATAAACCTTATACCGCATGTGAAGTAGTGATCACTCAAAAAACAAATATCATCACGGCTTCTTAGTTGTAAACTGGTTTGTTTGACCCTTTTCAGAATTGCTTCTAGTTGTATATCCGTAAATGGTATGATTTTATGGCTTTTTCCTCACCTGATTCACTAGTACTTGTATGTTCATGGCACTGGGTATGCCCAAGAGGAAAGTCAGCATGGCGATAACTGCTACTGCAACGCCTCTTTTCACTGTAAAAATAGTCAATGTGAAGGAATACGTAGCTTATGCAATATTCACTATCCATTTCAACAGAATAGAGTGCATTCGTACATTTTTTAAATCCCAACATGTAACCACCAGACGTGGTGACGGCACACTCAAGTTTTTTCAACTTATATTAATGCCGCCACCACATATACAAATACATGACAGGACAATACTCATTTTCACCTGAGTTAAGTGAGGAAAGTCGTGTAAAGTGCCTTTCCCAAGGGCACAAGATCGGTGGCATGTCAGGACTCGAACCCGGGACCTCTAGGTTCCGAGTCGCGCACTCTGCCGCTACGCCACACGACCCCACAATTCGTACATTTATGTAGTGTATTAGCACATTAGTGTATTTGCGAATTGCAGGCTATCACTCATGATACGTCCGTGAAGGTTACTATCAATGATGATTTTACCCTAATAAGAAGAACGTTTACTTAACACTTGTCCTGGTGTAAATTGTATCATGTTAATAACGAAAAAAATGATCTGGTGAACCTATCAAACTGGTAAATTATTCCCTCTTTGCTTTTAGTTGAGAGGAAAACACTCAGCTAGAACATTATATCAGAATTTGGTGTACCTATGTATAAGGCCATGTTGATTTGATTATATGGCATATGGATGACATCCGCGCTCGCATGAATTTTCGACCGTTAAAAAGAAAAGGTTTTCAACCATACTGTAAATCGTACAAAACAGTTGCAAAAAGAGCAAATATATACCGTAAGTTGCCAAAAAAATATTCAAAAAACGATACAAATGTCGTAGAATGCCTAAATCAAACAAAAAAGGCAAAAATGAATTTTTGCCAAACTTTTTTTTATTCGCACGCTCGCATCAGTTTTGGGGTTCTCAGAGGATGTCATCCATACAATCAAATCAACATGGCCTAAGCTACAAGGGAGAGCTAAGTGTTCGAAGAAAGACGAACCTCCCCAGTCGACCATGGCTTGTACAGACGTGTTCATCAGGGTGATATAGTTGCTGAAGGTTGCGATAAACACGGCCAGGAAGAACAGTGACGCCATCACTCGGCCCCCGGCCATGGTGGAGAACAGGATGGGCAGCCTGGGAACGAGAATGATAGATTTGCACTCACGTGACTATGACGTAGGTGTTGTCCGCCATATTGGATGCTTAAACTAAACCTGGTTCTTGCCAGGTAGATTATTGCACCTTATTATCTTTCCAAACACACATTTCTAATCAAAATAAAACATAACAAAAATTTGTTGCAACTTTGATAGATTTGCACTCACGTGACTATGACGTAAGTGCCCGCCATGTTGGATGCTTAAACTAAACCTTAGTTGCCAGGTAGATTACTGCACCTTATTATGTTTTCAAACACAATTTTCTAATCAGAACCAAACAAAAAGTAAAAATTCATTGTTGCAACTGAAATATAATTTATATTTCTTACAGTTAATTCGAGATCTAGAAGAAAGAAAGAAATCACAGACCAGATAAAAGTAAGTCCAGTATTGGCAGGTCCGTTGGTCCTCAGCAGTTCGACAATATCTGCCTTGGTACCACCCGGGTTGACTTCTGTGAAGGTTGAGAAGACTGTACAGAACACCGTGATGCCAACTGTCAGACTTGGAAAAGAAAAGTTAAATTAAATTTAGTGAGGATTTAGAAGACTATCCCTTTACATGCGCATAGGGTAACTAAAAATATGTATGAAATAATGTTAAAAGTAAACTTGTGCGCACAGGCTATATATATATAGGTCTCTGTAAGTACCACAAATAATGTTTAAATTGTATATCGGGAAGATGTACATGTAGTATTTTGCATCCAGTTCTCATCAATACACCGTTAACATACCTGTCTCCAAGTCATTTTACAACAACAGCTTCTTTCCCCGGACTGCAAAATTATGGAACTCTCTTCCAAACAGCTGCTTTCCGTCCGATTACAATCCACAAAGCTTCAAAACAAAGGTCCACCGCCATCTCCTGACATAACTACATTATACTCACTTAAGTACCTCTAGCTCTATGCCTAGAAGTGGCCAAATATAATTGGCCTTGCATTGAGCGATACCGTTAAAAAAATGCAAAAGCATATGGATTTAGGCTAATATGATGGTAAAGGGTAAAGGGTAAAGATATTCATTTATGATGATGATAATCCTTTATTGTACATTTATTCTCTTACAAGATAAGTATCGGACATGTATAAAGCACTATACAACTACCTACCTACTACACACTACTACCTACTGGTTGTTGTATATACATACCTAATACCACCGTTGGTAGCTGTTGTCCATATCACGTTTTTTACAGGTCCCATCTGACGGGACATGCTAGTTCCTAGGACCAGGAAAATGCCGAAAGCTGCTCCTGTGTCCCAAGCAACCTGTGACAAGGCTTCAATCCAGAGCGTAGGGCTCCCTAACAAGCCTGCAAAAAAGGTTATGCTACAGGTATTTCATACACGCGTCGTTAAAATGTGAGCATCTTTGTCCAAACTCTACCCTTACTCTCAACCTTGTATATTCATTCACCAGTTTCCCATCCCCAGAATGCAATGCGAAAATAGGGTGGTAAACCTCATTTGCATAGGACATGAAGGCATCGGAATGATCCTGTCGATGTTAAACAGCTTGCTTTTCACTGTGTTTTGAGGTGTTGGGGCATTTTATGCTCAACATTAACTAAATTACTATGGGTTGAATCTGAAAACAGAGAATTTTTTTGGAATATGTGGTTTGTAACATTATAGTGGTAACGCTATACTGATGCTGTAGCGTTACAAACCACATGTTCCATGTTGAAAAGAACACTAAAACTTCATTCTCTATTTGTCGTCAGATTCGGCCCATAGTAATTTAATTAATGTTGAGCATAAAATGCCCCAACACCTCAAAACAGTGAAAAACAAGCTGTTTAACGTCAACAGGATTATTATGATGCCTTCCAGTCCTATGTAAATGAGGGTTACCACCCTATTTTCGCATTGCATTCTGGGGATGGGAAACTGGTGACTTGAAGATTGACCCTTGCTCACTTGAGGTGTTGGTCGTTTTGAGTTTTTAGGACACCTAGATTTTACGTAGCAGTACTAAACTTTGCCTTTAGCAGCCCACTGGTTTGGCCCCTAGAAGCTTGATGGCCAACATCATAGTATTCTATCTTCTGGTGATGAAGTCATTCAACCGTCACGAAGCCAGCCTCTGCTGATTGGATGACCCGATACTGCCGTGGGCCAATCACACCCAAGGCACTCAGATTTGGCCAATCAGCGCACATGTTCAAGTTATGAACAGATATTCAAAGGACAGACTACCCTGGATGCCAAAACTAGTACCGGCCGTTAGCCGTTTCCCTTCGGCAGCCAAGAACCCTTCGCCCGCCTATCTAAATTACCGCTACGGGGGAGTTGAGCCCGAGGGGTTTGTCCGGCCCTATTACTTATCGTTTGCAGGGCCAGCCATCTCCCCCCGGGTTAGACTCTCCCGTAGCGGTAATTTACACCAGCGGGCGAAGGGCTTTTGCGGCCCGGAAAACGAGTTCTGGCTCCAGGGTAGCACTTACCCCAGTCTGGAGTACAGAAGAAGCCGAGCCCGACCTCGGCGTTGTTGAGCGTCAGAGCCCAGATCAGGGCCGTGAGCAGCAGGACGAGCAGCAGCGGTGTCATGGCGGTCATGGCCCGCTCGATACTCCCCACTCCCCGCCAGTTGGCAGCAGCACAGGCCACGGTGATGGTAAAATGGAGAAGAACAGGCCAGTGGCTCTCCTAATATGTAAAAAAAATTACGGCTCTCGGTGGCAAATGTGCAGATGTTGGCACATTGGCGCACCAAATCTGTAGTGTGTTTTTGGCACACAGTTAGACAGATTAACCTAAAAGGCTCGGTGGGCGTGCGTCACTCATACAGGAAGGGAAGTCATGTTAAGTGCCTTTCCCAAGGGCACAACGTCGGACCACAGTGAAAATTTGTTCCGAGGCCAATAATTGCTGTACAGAATGACTGATATTGTAAATACCAATTTCCTAACATGTTAGAATGAATAATATAAAGAACAATTATAGTAGTTACCTCTTCAAACTGTTGCCATGCCATGATACTCTCATCGTAAGTTGTAGGTAGTGGGTAGAAGACACAGGCAATGGTGTAAAACACTGACCATCCGACAATAACACCGAAGTAACAGCTGTCAAGAATGAAAAAAATAAAGAAACTAAACTAGAAAGGTAACATTTGCAAGCAAATGCACAATGTTTACCTTAAGTCGCATATGGTCTGCTCTGTTAATTCTTACTCAAACACATTCATATATATGGTGACAGGAGTGTAAATCCCTCCTGCTATAAAATTGCAACATAATGTAAACCAACACCAGTTACCATGGTGACAGACGTCTGGTCACTGACCTTATTTGTTTGAAGAAACAAAGCAAAGGTAAACATATAAAAGCGGCCACGAATTTTACACTGGTCAATCAGACTAACTAGAGTCATAAATAAGGCACCAGTTCAACGTTAGATATTATATAATTCCAAATTACTTAGTATTCTGACTGGTGATAGTGCGTTGCTAAACTTTATTCCAACGCAGAGCTACACAGAGATCAAATTTTCAACGACCACTGTCGCCTTCGTCAGGGTAAGTACACCAATCACTTCCGAACGTGAATCTGCGAGAGTTACGGACACGTGACCTTATTCACGCGAGACTTTACGGATACGTGACGTCAGCAATTGGTCGAACATACCAGGCAAGTTATATCATCCACTGTCTCTGTTTAGTGATGGCTGGAGTGCCCTTTATACCTCTCAAGAAACTTCCACGATATTCTGATTGGTGCTTTGGCTTCGGGGTGTTTTTGTAGGCCACACCAATATAATTTGTTGCTTCTCGGATCGCCCTGTCCATTTTTTTTTTATTTGCAAGAAAAAAAAAATTGGTTCTAAACTAACTGCAAAATGCTGACTGAAAGACATTTTGGCCGCAATGGTTGAAGTCCTTTTCTTCCTAGTTCTTAATTTTTTTAATGTAACAATGCAATTTTGTTTCATTTAAAGTTAAAAATCTATTGTTTTAATCATAAACCAGCCTGGTATGTTCACTTCATGGCTCATATTGTAACATTTCCGGCTATCATGGGGTGCCTTGGCCTGTTTTCTCCTGTCGCTCCTATTTTTTTCTAAAAAAAATCCGAGAAACAACAAATTAGATTGGTGTCGCCTTATCGGGAGAGAGAAATAGTTAACTCACGTAATGAGAAAGTTAAGACTCGCCATCCAGCCTCCAAGCCATGTCGATTTCACTCCCAGAAGATCGTGGAACGCCATTGGTGGAGCCCTCCTGGTGAACCGACCAATGGCGACCTCCACGATGATAAGTGGGATGGACCATAGGAAGAGGAACACCAGCCAGACCAGGAGGAACTGCAGACATCCTGAGAAAGGGGAGTACTTTATTTTCAAAATCATCTTTTGATAACCAACGACATGTGTTTTAACCAAAAATGCAACATTACGTTTTTATCTTCGTTGGTTTCAAGCATTGTTTGAAGCTGGTGAGGATGCCCCTACGTATACGAATGGCAGTGAGTTCCACTCTACAATAGTTCTAGAAAAAGAAATTAGTTTTTGAAGTTCATCTCAAATGTCGTTGAAAGACCAAAATTGATGAAAAGTTTATTGCAAATTCGTGCCCGGAGGCTAATTGCAGATTACAAAACATAAAAGAACAATGAAACAGAGTATAAAATAACTAAAGTCTACATGATAAAGGTAGCTGTCTATGTCTAAAACTATGTCTGAAGGGTTTGACTTCTCTTCTGTAAACCATGGAAGACATAATGTTCCACCTTTTCCAAAATTTGTGGGTTTTGGGAAGTTAAAAGAAGAATAGTTTTTTCTTGGTCTGTAAGTTTAGAGATGACCATGGTACCTTCCTCCCCGCAGTTGTTGGCCAGTATGCGGGGAAAGCGCCACAGACTCCCGCCGCCCACAGCGCTGATGAACGTCAGGAGAAGCCCCGCCTTGGACGAGAACATGGTGGCGTCTCCTGGTGCCTGTCCAGGTGACGTATCATCGTCAGCATCCGACCCTGAACCGTCAATGTCCTGGAGTGTAATAAATAGTAGTTAACATATACTGTAATTCACTTTATGTTCACGGTAGCAAAAGTTCACGGTCTGAGAAAAATGGACATGTTCACGGAACTATATATGTTCACGGTGGCGACAGGTACAGAAAAAGAAAGTCTAGGAATTATTTGTTAACAGTACAGAAGTGACAGTGAAATGAGAACAGTGTCAGTGAACATAAAAGTACAGTGAAAAAATCAGGAATTACAGTAGCCAGAAGACGTTGACCAATCAGAAGGCTCCATTCCCATTGGTTATGAGGCCTTAACCTCAAAAGTGGTCCGTTATTAGAATAACCGACCACTTTTGGGAGTACCATTTTACAGGGCACAGCACACTAACAGTAGTATTGTAGTTTATTTTCAACAATTATTTGAAAATCAATAAAATAATGAAATTTATGAAAGAATGAAATTTTAACAGAAAAAAAAACATAACCATATACAATGTATCTAATACACATCGGGGCAGGGCATTAACCATTTATTAGCAACCAGGCATGCAGCGCTCTTTCATTTATTTGTTGCCATGGTAAAAACTGGTCTGGCAGGTTTTGGGCACAGTCTATACATAATAGCAGTCTTTTAAGCCGAGCGTTTCCGCCATTTGAAATGTCATCGGTGGTATGATTCAACGTTATCATAGTATAATGTTGTTTGTTGAAGTTAAAGGCCTAATTTTGTTTACCAAATCGATAATTTAGGCAAAAATCTACAGAAATTAAAGCTTCAGTCAGTTTATACACCTTACCGTATACGTAGCTGTTTTTAAATCTTAAAGTTGAAGCACCTGAACTATTACAACATATAGGGGCATTTCAGCAAGACTAAGACACAACCGAGCGTTCAAGGATCTACGACAAAGTTTTCCGACACAAGATCGTTTGCCAGTTTTGTACGAGACATGTACGATTGTCCCAAGATTGTTGTACGACAAATATGGCAGATGTAGGTCATAAGACTGATAGCCTTGTATCCAGTCTGATCGTTATTGGGGGTATTGGGGTGTTCAGGCAGGTTGTGTCTTCGGGGGCTCTAATAGCTTCCCTCGCCCAGTGCAACAGACCGTCCCGGTAGGAGTGTTACGCTAATCAGAGACTGCTTGGGGATTTGGTTTCCCCCAACACGATGTTCGTGGAGGGCTAATCAATCTCTCGTGAAATACACACAGGGAAACCTATGTGAGGCGGGCGGGACAGAGCTCTTTCGGCCTCGACCACGATCAGACTGGATACCAGGCTATCAGAATGACTGCATTGGCTCGAACTGTATTAGCAAACAGAGCGAGTAAAATCCAAGTCACTCGTCGTTACTTGTGCCATGTCGATAAACATAATCGTTTACCCTCATACGTAAAGATATGCTAGACTTTGAGGTGATCAACAATGAACTATACATACATTTTCAGTCAGCTGTGTTCTCTCTTCAGATTCTGCGTCGTCCGCCATCTTAATTGAAAAATTGCCTAGTTAAAAAGTGGTTGTTCAACTCTTTGGAATCTAACTTAGATGCGCGTAAAATTTGATGGAAGATTATGAAATATTCTTAAATAAACGACTTTTGATAAAAGGGTTGTGTTTTTTTATGAAAAGGTGATTTTGGTGTTTAATATGTAATTACGAATGCTTTAGCGTCCTTTTCAGGTGAGAAAGCTGCAGTTCCTTTGAAAGCCGCATGTCGTCCTGTCTTTTTGACAACTCTGACAACAGAGGTGCGTGACTAGCATGAGTTTTGGACGATTGGTGATTAACTCGATCTACAACATTAAAAGTACTCAGCCAAAAATAAAAGTAAATGTACATTGAATTTTTTTGAAGTTCGGATTTATACTCAATGATTGCTATATATAAAGCCTTAAAGGAGCAAAAAAAAGTTCATTCCTTTTCTAATATTCCATGTCCACTTTTTTCTGTCGTCTGTATAATTAGAAGAACATTGTTCGAAATGTGAATTGATGAATGAATCGTTATTCAAAATTTTACTCATTTCTGAAGGCATATTTTTGTGCGACAATTTGACGGTTTGCGGCAATAACATGTCATGCCCGCATGACCAACAAGAGGTCAAATAAGGTCAACGTCCGTAGGGGCATTGGGACAAAGACCAAAACATGTGTACCCACACGGTCCATTGCAGAGAAAACAATGACTAGAAGGTACAATATTGTTGTCCTTTAAGATCATGTCAGCCTCGGAAGACGAAGACATGGCACCCAAGACGAAAAGTTCGGAAGAAACCCGGAAGGTGTTAGTGTCTCTTCACGTGAATGTGGCCCTGCACAGTGCATGTGTTTTTATGCAGGGAATCGCCTTTACTGTGAGTATTCGTAATGTTACCGGTTTTATGTGAACTTCATTGACACAACAAAGGTACAGCGACTTTCGTCAGGTCTTAAACTACATGTAGACATACAGACGGATACGTGGGTGCAAAAATTGACCTACAAAATTTATCATGACAAATTTAGATCATCAATCAACTAGTAACTTATACCAAAACATTCTAATCAAACTAGGTACAAAATTATTGTACCTTTAAGCAACGCTAGTGCAGTCTCTATAACTTAAGTGCAGTCTCAATTGGTCAAAATTTTGGCTGTGTGCTAATTTATTGATAAGTTTATTTGGGTATCTGTCTTCTTTAGCCCCCCTCCCCACCTGTAAATATAGTATAACTTATAAGCTAGTTCACAGTTTAAAGTTCGCACGTGCTGTGTGATGCAATGTACGATAAAATGTAGCTACAGCTGTCTACTTGAGTTGCAGATCTATGGCCTTGTTCATATGAAACCACCCGAACCACGATTCGGGTAACTCGCATTCCTCACATCTGGTCCACGTGCCATACATTCCTTTCAAACCGTGTCCGATCACGATTCTCTGAAACTGCATTCATTGTTGTTTGATGAAAACATGCAAGGTGAAATAAAAACAACTTTTTTTTTTTGCAAAACTGTTTTTTTATTCGCACGCGCGCATCAATTTTGGGGCTCCCGGAGGATGTCATCCATATAATCAAATCAACATGGCCTTAGCAACCAGGCATGCAGCGCTCTTTCATTTATTTGTTGCCACGTCAAAAACTGGTCAGGCAGGTTTTGGGCACAGTCCACACATGTATAATAGCAGTCTTTTATATGAGCGTTTCAAGGTAGTGTGTTATTAATGTCAGAGGTCAACGACCTGCTTGCTGATGCCCCCCCTCCCAGCGTATCTCGGCCGAATGCCGACGTGGTCCCTCCAGAGGCGGTGAAGCTCGTCCTGGAACGGACACATTACTAGTATTTGACCATTACTACTCTTTAAGTTGCTGCCACGTAAAAGTTGGTATTGCATATAAATAAAGAAATATCACCCCGTAATCCATGACCAGGCAAAGTCACATTGAAATCACGTTGCGTTCAGACCATGGAGGTAGTTCCTTTTTTCTACCTCCATGTTCAGACGCAAATCGCGATGCGGAAAAACCGATTCGAAACCACCTCTAGAAGTGGTTTGGGATCGAGGCGCTCTCAATGTAATTTGGAGCATTCAGATGGAGCCACTTGAATCCGGCTTCGGGGGAAACCACATGTAAAGCGCCTTCACTGACTTCATATGATCAGGGCCTACACTACAAGTGTACAAAGGTCTCCCTAACAGTACCACTATTGACAGAGTTAGTAACAGCTTGAAACTCTGCCAATACTTTTGGGGACAGATCATTTATAGAGAATTATGGATGGTAAAAAGGTACATTTTTACATTGTTGCACAGAAAAAAAAACTACAGAATTTTCTATCATTGTATGCCAAGTAACATATATTTTAGGAAAAAGACTGGTTAGTACTATAGACTTTCAGTACTGAATAAAACCCCATGCAATTATTAGTGGATCATCCCACGTGTACATACATTATAAGGTTTGAACTGTTATAATGTATATCTATTGCTTCATGTTCCAGTAAATTTATGGTCGGATAAATTAAATGTACTACTAGTATTACTGTAATGAAAAGAAAGCAAAGGAATACTTTGCTGTATCTGAAGATAATAATAGCTGTGTATAGTATATGCAAGACATCGCAGACTTTGACCATCATGGTATGTACATTGGACTTTATACATAAATGCACCTGCAGCTTAGATATGTCTCAAAATATCTTTGAAGAGGGTTTAAAATGCTTTTTTTCTGTAAAGGTTTAAAATGGAATTTTTTGTATATGTTCTGAATATAATGCAGAAATGATATGAAAATTAATTCAGTATGAATTCCAGTTCTGTAGTTGTAATTTACATGTATCTTCCACCATAATATTATATGTTATGTGCCCCCCCCCTCCCAATGTCCAACATGTTATCTTAGACATAATATAAGATAGTTCACGTATGGAGAAATTCTTTATACTCAGCATCTACTGGTCCTAAACTCACAGGACAAATTTAGTGCAGAATGTAAAGTTAATTTACCAGTCAACTAGTTCACTGAAATGCAACAGAAAAGTACTAATATTAACAACAAAAAATCCAACATAATTCTCAATTTCACACCTTTTCAATGTATAAGTAATAATATTACATACATAAAAGTATTATATAATATACCCCAGTAGTACATAGATATACGGAATATTTTCTCATTCCCTGATTTTTGTTGTTGTTGTTGCAGTACCTGTCCAAGAAGCTAGGTGTCTCCCCAACTGTATGGGGCTACCTGAACACCTGCACTGCCCTGTGTCACCTGGTTGGAAGTCCCATCTATGGCAGGTTTGGGGATCTGTATGGGGGCAGGAAGGCTCTGGCTCTGTCCTTTCTCTCCATGTGTGCCACGTGTGTCCTCCTGGCTGTGGCAGACAGTGTGCCCAAACTGTTTATTTCTAGACTTCCAATGGTCTTCATGCAGGTTATGCCAGGTAAGTATGTGTGTGAGAACATAGGGGCATGAGAACATAGGGGTGTGAGAATATAGGGGTGTGAGAACATTAGGAGTGTGAGAACATAGGGGTGTTGGAAAATAGGGATGTTGTAACCTAGGGGTGTTGTAACATAGGGGTGTTGTAATATAGGGGTGTTGTAATATAGGGGTGTTGTAATATAGGGGTGTTGTAATATAGGGGTGTTGTAATATAGGGGTGTGAGAACATAGAGGTGTTGTAACATAGGGGTGTTGTAACAGAGGTGTTGTAACATAGGGGTGTTGTAACATAGGGGTGTTGTAATATAGGGGTGTTGTAATATAGGGGTGTTGTAATATAGGGGTGTGAGAACATAGAGGTGTTGTAACATAGGGGTGTTGTAACAGAGGTGTTGTAACATAGGGGTGTTGTAACATAGAGGTGTTGTAACATAGGAGTGTGAGAACATAGGGCTGTGAGTACATAGGGGTGTGAGAACATAGGGGTGTGAGAACATAGGGGTGTGAGAACATAGGGGTATGGGAATATAGGGGTATGAGAACATAGGGATGTGAGAACATAGGAGTGTGAGAACATAGTGGTGTCAGAACATAGGGGTGTCAAAACATAGGGGTGTCAGAACATAGGGGTGTTAGAACATAGGAGTGTCAGAACATAGGAGTGTCAGAACATAGGGGTGTCAGAACATAGGGGTGTCAGAACATAGGGGTGTCAGAACATAGCCTAGGAGTGTCAGAACATAGGGGTGTCAGAACAAAGTGATCTAGGAACATAGGGGTGTCAGAACATAGGGGTGTCAGAACATAGGGGTGTCAGAACATAGGGGGGTCACAACATAGGGGGTCAGAACATAGGGATGTCAGAATATAGGGATGTCAGAACATAGGGGTGTGAGAACATAGGGATGTCAGAACATAGGGATGTCAGAACATAGGGATGTCAGAACACAGGGGTGTCAGAACACGGGTGTCAGAACAATTAGGGGTGTGAGAACATAGGGATGTGAGAACATAGAGATGTCAGAACATCGGGGTGTTGGAACATTTGTGTGTCAGAATATAGGGATGTCACAATATAGGAGTGTCAGAACATAGGAGTGTCAGAACATAGGGGTGTCAAACCATAGGGGTGTCAGAACATAGGAATGTCAGAACATATGACTGTCAGGACATATGATTGTCATAACTTAGGGGTTTCAAAACATAGGGGTGCCACTGTCAGAATTTAGGGATGTCAGAACTTAACCGTGTTAGAACATAGGACTGTTAGAACAGGTATTTCAGACCATAGGACTGTCCCAGTGCTTTGTTTAACTGTCACCTTGGTAACAGGTGTATATTTGTACGCAGGTGCCCACATGGTTGTAGCAGATGCCACTGATGATGCGTCGCGGTCAGATGCCATGGGGAAAGTGGGGATGTTCTTCGGTATTGGTCTTCTCATTGGTCCTGTCTTAGGGGGCTGGATATCTGAACACTACAGGTGAGGCCTAGGAAAAAATGTTGTGCTTCATGACTGACCCTAGAAAAAACCCTTGGCAAACCATCAGTACTGAAAATTTACTGTCAAATACTAGTACTGACAGTAGTTTTTCAGTAAAACCCTTGGCAAACCATCAGTACTAAAAATTTACTGTTAAGTACTACACTGTAAGTACTGACAGTAAATTTTCAGTAAATTGTCTTTTACTGTATTACTGAAGCAATACTGGTAAGTACTTACAATGTATGCCTTTATTTACTGTTCTTTTACTGTCAGTACAGTACTGTCAGTACATACATGTCTGAGGCCTAGGAAGAAATGTTTTGTGACCTGTTTCTCAAACGACCCTAGAAAAAACTGCAGACCCTAGCCTTTTTTTAGGGGGGGGGGCCTTGCAAGGTACTTAGTACCTAAATTTTCGTGCTGATCAACCTTTTTGCAGAACAATAATTTTTCTATAATTTCTACTTGAAAAATGAAATTGAACTTCAACTAGCATGTATAGAGAGCTAATTTTAATAACAGCTTTCTTGAAACAACAAATTTTTAAAAAGCTTAACCCTGCATAATTTTGTATTAGTCAACTACAAATACAACTTTAATAAACCTAAGTAGTCTAAACAAAAAAGAATATTTAACTTGCTAACAAAACTAATATTTTGTATAACCAGTTTGAACTAATAGTGTGTTGTAGTATTTTTCTGATCTCACAAATTTTTCTTCTCCTTGAATTAAAACTAATATTTTGTATAATCAGTTTGAAATAATAGTGTGTCGTAGTATTTTTCTGATCTCACAAATTTTTCTTCTCCTTCTTGAATTAAAACTAATATTTTGTATAATCGGTTTGAACTAATAGTGTGTTGCAGTATTTTTCTGATCTCACAAGTTTTTCTTCTCCTTCTTGAATTAAAACTAATATTTTGTATAATCAGTTTGAACTAATAGTGTGTTGCAGTATTTTTCTGATCTCACAAGTTTTTCTTCTCCTTGAATTCTCAGTGAACATGTGACGTGTGTAGTGGCTGCAGTGCTGTCCTTGTTGCAGGTAGTTTTGGTGATGTTGTTTGTACCTGCACAGATGAAATCTGTGTCTCAGGAAAAACACAGGACATCATCAGGTCAGTTTACTGACTTCAAGCTGTTTCATTTTAGCCCAGCAGCTATTTTTTTTTCAATTACATGAACATAATGATTCCATGTTTCTCTATCACTGGTCCTAATTTCTTTCCAAGAGGTCAGGAATTCCAAAATAGATATTATCAAAAAAATAATAATACTATTAGGACAACGTAGAATCATAATGAAAGCCATTGCATTGTGCAAAAGGTTTCCCTCAGGAGTAACAGTCGCATAAGCTGTAAGTCACATGAAGTACCTGATCACATTCATCCCATAGGTTCCCAACAGCATATGGGGGTCATTTTTGGAACACTCATCTCATGAAATATTAGATGCAAAAAACTGAGCTATTTCGTGACAGAAAAAGCTGTCATAGATCCTTGTTGATGACTTATCATAGTCTCAAATTCAATGAAAATCCTAGGACAGGAAAAATAGTGTAGCATGCATATCAAATGTTACGAAATTGAATTGTATTAAAACATTGTCAGTGAAAGCAATTGACAGAAAAAAAGATGATCTATTGGTTGAAAATTTACTGTGCCTTTAGCAACTGTGCCTTCAGCAACATTGGGTGAAACACAATAGATTTTCCAAATCCTCTCCATCTTTCTGCATGTAATTTATTATTACACTTCCTCCCAGCTGCCTAACCCTATAGCATAATAATTGTAATAAATTTGTTGTCAAACAACTGATTTTGTTAAAGTAGCAATGCCATACAAGTGTAACGTTACATGGGTATGTCAACTTTTTCCTCTCCAGGGTCCAGTGTGTTTGATGTGCGTGAGATCGCTCGGCTGTGCAGTATTCCGCAGGTCCAACAACTTCTGGTTATCCGCTGTCTGTCGCTGTTACCCGGCATGCTCCTCCAGACGACGTTCCCCATCATCATGGCCAGCACGTTCGACATGGGGCCGCAGGACAGCGGCGTGTTCATGGCCTACATCGGACTAGTCAGCATGGTACGTTTGTTACTTTTACTAAGGCCACACCAATTTAATTTCTTGGTTAACAGATTTTTGTAGAAAAATAATGGAGCGGGCGGGCGAAAAAAATAAATAAATAAAAATAAAAACAGCCCTAGGCATCCTATTATGGCCCAAAATGGTATGATAGGAGCCATGAAGTCAACACACCAGGCTGGTTCAAAATTTAAACAATGAATTTGGAACTTTTAATTAAACCACTGCATTGAAAGATGGAATAACTGTAACTGTAACTGTAACTAGGATGAAAAGGACTGTTTTCAAGTTTTCAGGGCAAAATATGAGCATTTTGCAGTTGATTCTGAATTTTTATTTTTATTTGCAAATCAGAAAAAAATGAAGCGGGCGAGTCCGTTAACCAAGAAATTAAATTGGTGTGGCCTAAAGGAAAACAAAATATTGTTTTTGCTACGTTTCCTCTTCTTCTTCCATTCCAAACCTCTGACCTGGCCAATTTGTTGCCGATTTGTTGATGTCTCTCGCCATGGTAATGCATGTTGGGTTACGTAATGTTGCAATTTTAAAGTAGGAGGGATTTATACTCCTGTCTGACCATATACGTGTACTAGTATATGAATGTACATACTTGGATAAGAATTAACAGAGCAGACCATATGCAAAGGTAAACATTATGCATTCTCTTTGCAAATGTTACCTTTCTAGTTCATTTTTGCTACTTAGTTGCTAGTTATGTATTTGGATCTGATGATAGTGCAATTTACATGGGTCCTAAGAATAGTGAAATGTTAATGATGTATGAATGACATACATTCGACTTTTTATGATTAATATATAGAATTAGGGTTCGGGTTCTTGGAACAATGTTAGGGATGTAACTATTTGATCATAATTTATTATGTAAGTATGGGAGGAAGTATTGTCATGCTAAATATTTATTCTCTTTGTCTGTGTGTCTGTTTCATGCATATCATGTCCAGTAGTCCTGCCTCGGGATCAAGAGGTTGGGAGTTCGAATCCCAGCTGTTGTTGCTCACCCAACATGCACGCTACTGTAAAGGGTTGCAGTCCTTAGGATGGGACGTTAAGGGGGGCCTGCAAGGGGGGGGGGTCCCGACAACGCTCTACGCTGAATTCGGAAACTTCTCGATTACGCTTTACGATAAATTCCAAGTGGTCACAACACATTAAGTAGAATTAAAACGGCGAATTACGCTCTATGCAAAATGCGCCAATTACGCTCTACGTTGAATTGGCGGTCCGTCTACGCTCTACGTAGAATTAAAATGGCTGATTACGCTCTACGGAAAAGGGCTTGCGGGCCCCCGTTAAGCCTTGGTCATTGTACTTGTTGTAAAGAGCTAGGGGGTTTTCCCTGGTACAATGAACTTGTAAATATGGTTTTACCATATATCATTGTTAGCATGTCTTCTCTGCCAATTAAGCCATAGAATCTCGTACCTTTTCTGATGACGTAGGCTTGCCCTGGCAGGGCATGTTGTTCGTAGTAACGAACCAGCTGGTGGACTAGTACAGTGGCTTCCCACTGGGAGACGTAGAGTGGGACGTCCTTATACTACACTTTTGTCCATGTTAGAGAGACACTGGTCTCGCAGGGACTGCACTTAAGTGTCTGCTATGAGGGATAGGACATACTGGATGCCCGTAGCCAGGGGGGGTTCGGGGGGTTCGGAGGAAGGCTCAATGGTCCACTTTTTGGTCCACGTTAAGGTCCACTTTTTGGTCCACTTTTTATGTAAAGGTCCAAGATTTTTCTTGAAAATATGGACTGGAATCATAGAAAAACTGCTCCCTTTGTCATTGAATAAAAATTTATCTCTGATTTTTTCTTGGAAATCCTCTTAAAAATGTACGAAATGCCATTTTAGAAGGTTCATTTTTCAAAATTTCCCGGGGGAGCGCGCCATGCCCCCCTAGGAACCCCGTGCCTTTGGCGCTCGCCTCGGGCCTACAGCGCTCGAGGTCCCCTCAAGCAGTGAAGAGTGAACCCCCCCATTCAAAATCCTGGCTATGGGCATGTGACAGCCGGATTTATAATCCGGAGGCATGATAATGATGATGAAGCCATGGAAGCTTATGATTAAACTAAACTGGTTCAACAAGGATTTTCCCTTTTCTGTTACAGCTGACTATGGGAGTAGGTGTTGGTGTGATCACCAAGAGGTTCAGTGACTTGACTATACTCCGGTGCAGTACCATGTCCTTCATAGTATCAAATGTCTTCATGGTAGGTACAGTCTAATAATAACAGTTACTATAAACTACATTAATACTTTTGCAGTCATTTTATTACACAGTTTATAAGGCCACACCAATTTAATTTCTTGGTTAACGGATTTGCCTGCTTCATTTTTTTCTGATTTCCCAAAAAAAAAAAAAAATTCAGAATCAACTGCAAAATGCTCATATTGTGCCCTGAACAGTTGAAAACAGTCCTTTTCTTCCTATTTGTTACCATTATTCCATCTTTCAATGCAATGGTATCATGAAAAGTTCAAAATTCATTGTTTAAATTTTGAACCAGCCTGGTGTATTGACTTCATGGCTCCTATTGTACCATTCTGGGCCATAATAGGATGCCTAGGCCTGTTTTTATTTATTTTTTTTTTCGCCCGCCCGCTCCATTATTTTTCTAGAAAAATCCGTTAACCAAGAAATTAAATTGGAGTGGCCTAAAAGGGGAAAAGAATTTTTTACAGTGTTTGAAGTTTGCAGTTGAAAGATTTTCATGATAACCACAAATAATTCACCACAAAAGACCACAGAATACAATGTCATGTACCTTATACAAAAGTGTAGCATCTTTTAATTGCAACCTTACACGTGTATCTGGCTTTAAAATTTCTTATTACATTTCTTGGTGTCTTTTAAAAATTCAAATGTAGCATTGTTGATGTTATTATATAAGTCTAGTATGACTGGAGTAATATTTTCACATTTTTAAAATTTTTTTTCCAGGCAGGAGCAACAAAAATCTGGCACTTGTACATAACTGTGACACCTGCTGATGTGGGAGGGGCCACCATGGGGGTTATCATGAACAGTGCACTCACTAAAGTTGTGCCTCCTGAGGACACAGGTGAGACCCTTTTAGACCCTTTTACTCTGAAAGCAATAATTATTGTTGATGCATGAACATATATACAGAGCTTATAATACATTGCCTAGTTTTTAAAAGGAATACGAAGTTTTGTCTAGTTTCATAAAAAATACACATTTTTCTTTTATATAATCTAAAAGCTTAATTGTAGTATATCTTGTAAACAATTAAAGAGCATATTTCAGTCAACAACAAATGATGTGGGGTCGTGTGGCATAACGGTAGAGTGTTTCGTCTCGGAACCAAGAGGTCCGGGGTTCGAACCCTGCCATGCCACCGATCTTGTGCAAAGGCACTTTACACGACTTTCCTCACTTTGCTCAGGTGAAAATAAGTATTGTGTTGTCCTCTGTGTTGGTTGGCAGCATAGAAATAAGTTTAATCAAGAATGACAATGAAAACATATATTGCCATGGTGACAAAATTCCTGTACAATTCCTAGAATTCTTGCAAAGTGCACACAATACTGACTGTATCATTAGGCTCCCCCCTGAGGTGTCGCCAAAAACTTGAGTGAGCTGTCACCACGTCTAATGTCATTACATGTTGGAATAAAAAAGAACAAAACAAAATGACACTTATTATGTTTACCGAAGAAAACAAATTGTTTTTGCTCAGTTTCTTCTTCCTCCTCTTCTTCTTCTTCTCCAAACAGTGACCTCTGACCTGAACCAATGTTGTGACTGTTGCCATGGTAACTGGTGTTGAGTTACCATCATGTTGCAATTTCATAGCAGGAGGGATTTAGACTCCTGTCTGACCATATATATGAATGTGTTTGAGTACGTATTAACACAGCAGACCATGTGCGAAGGTAAACATTGTGCATTTGCCTTGCAACTGTTACCTTTCTAAGTTCTCACTATATTTTTCAGATAAAACATGACTATTCTTTCATGCTTTCCAGGTGCAGTTATGGGCCTAAGTGGAGCAATGCAGCACCTAGTTCAAACTGTGGCACCCAGTATAGGAGGATGGCTGCTCGAAAATTACGGTTTCCCATCTATAGGAATCCTCGCTGCAGCTTTAAACACTGCACTAGTCATGTACCTTTTCCTGGGAAACATTTCAAAAAGTTTCACCTACCAAAAAGATTCATCTGGAACTACCACAGTTTAATTATGTTTACCGAAGGAAAACATATTGTTTTTGCTCAGTTTCTTCTTCCTCTTCTTCTTCTCCAAACAGTGACCTCTGACCTGAACCAATGTTGTGTCTGTTGCCATGGTAACTGGTGTTGTGTTATTTCATGTTGCAATTTCATAGCAGGAGGGATTTATACTCCTGTCTGACCATATATATGAATGTGTTTGAGTAAGTATTAACAGAGCAGACCATGTGCGAAGGTAAACATTGTGCATCTGCCTTGCAAATGTTACCTTTCTAGTTAACCTTCTTCCTGCTACTTACCCCATAGCCAAAAGGCTAAATTAGCTCTGAGAAGGTTAAAATGTAATCAATGTACAACAGATTATTTTATGTGTAATATTGAAGATTTATATATAAGCACAGCAATTTTTTAAAAATGTATTCCACAGCAAATTTGTAAGTTGATTATTGTTGTCAGTTTTTTAACTTAACTAGAGGTCAAAGATCTCATACCTTTGTTGTTTTTATTTCATTCCATACTTTAGTATGGAGGGAAATACTGTTTTTACTGATGATTCTCCTCCTTCTTCTTCTTCTCCTCCTGCCATTTCTTTAAATTGATTCAATTCCTTCATTTTTGGGCCAAACGACCTGGAATTTCGTATAAAGGTAGAGTGGGTAAATACCCCTAGGTCGTTTTTTTATTTTTTTTGATACAAGCTTTTACAATCGTTTTATTTGCGTTTTTAGCTGTTCCCATAGGAAAGTACTGTGGGGCGTACGCGCGTGACGTAATAAGAAAGGAATTCGGGGGCGGGCCCAAATATGGGCATGCAAGCATGAACCTGACGCAGCCTAATCTTTTCTTCTTGCTGATTGGCTGTTGGATTTGATTGGATTAACTCAATTAACACCTGTTCAAAGCCATTCCATTTTGACAGTATGAACTCAAGTGTTTTGGTAGGTACAGCACAGGCCACGAAATACGCATCAATTTTCGAGGGACGTTCTGCGGGAGAGTGCAGGACGCTGTGCGGGACTTCCCTCGGGAGAGTGCGGGACGTCCTCCGGGAGAGTGCGATACGTTCTGCGGGAGAGTGCGGTACGTCCAGCGGGAGAGTGCGGTACGTTCTGCGGGAGCCAGACATTTTGCTCTTCTCTGTTGGAACAACGCAAGTTGGAGGTCAATGACCTGCGCCCGGCGTGTAAACAAGATTGGACAGGGAGCGGCTGTAATATCAAAGGAGCCGGCGGCTTCTGCTAGCCGGGTTGATAGTTAAGTAACATCAAGGTGGTTCAAAAGCAAACCTGATAAAGAAGGAAACCCCGTAGTTAATAGTTGAAAGTCTTGGTGGCTTGAGGCGATCGATACCGCCATGCTGTTTACTTTATATGACATACAATGCAGTGAGTGATGTGTATCGCAACGAGTTAGCTCGGTTGGTAACGCGCCAGACGGCAATCCCAGAAATTGTGAGTTCGAACCCCAGTGCATCGGATATTAACATTTTAAACAATTTTATCATTTTTAACAATTTTATCAGTTTTAACAATTTTATCAGTTTTAACAATTTTAACAATCCTGCATTTTAACAATTTCAACATTTTTTTTTTTTTTTTTTTCGTTGTTTTGCTTTTAACATTCAAAAACTGATTGTTCTTACTCAAGAATGTCAATAACTTAGAATGTTAGTCTTTTGTATTTTTCCAACATACAAACCAAAATCACTTTGATGTTGTCACAAAAGTATGGAGCTGACAAGAGAGAATGAGTACGGTACTCTGCCAGTGTGAAGAATCTACAGAGGTATTACCAGTCACTAGTAGCAAGAGATAGACCACATTGAATGATGACGATGAGGACGAATCATATGGAGTACTATCATAGCTTAGTACAGAAATTCTACTGCTTTACTTTACTTTACTTTCTTTCACTCTGTACATGCAATTAGCTCACTGGCATGATTTTAAAAATAAAGGTTATGATAATCATATTATATGTATAGCTTATTCAATGTATGGCTTCATAGTTTATGTGATTGTTAATAAGGCCATGTTGATTTGATTGTATGGATGGCATCTGTGCGCGCATCGGTTTTCGTTAATTTAAAACTAAGTTTACGACATTCATACAAAACATCTGGAAACTAAGCAAACATACTCTGTAAATTGATTACTGTAATTCCCGATTTTTTTTTCACTGTACCGACAACGTAACGCAAGCAGGAGGTCAATGTTCACGGTTTTCACTGTCACCTCTGTACCGTGAACTTATCTTTACAGTTAGGAAATAATTCCTGGACTTTCTTTTTCCTGCAACTGTCACCACCGTGAATATATAGTTCCGTGAACATGTCCATGTTTCTCAGACCGTGAAAATTTTGCTACCGTTAGTAGTAGTTGCAATTTCGTCATTAGTAGTATTTAGATACCTGCAATATGTAACTTTGAAATTGAGATAAGTGTAAAGTAAAGCTGTCGAGATTTAAAGTGCTTGTCGTTGTATCTTTGTAAAAAAAAGGGAGATAATGGCCAAGTGCCATTTTTGTAAATATCTGTCGAGATTCAAAAAGCTTGTCCTTGTATGATTGCAGTATGATTTATTCAGAATCTTCTATTTTTGTATGGGGAGGGAGATGGAGTGAAATATTACATTTGCTCCGAAGCAAATGTTGGCCTTTCTAGTTTTATTTGTGTTGTTTTTGTCTGTAGTAATTTCTTTTGTTGTGTCAGAGCCCCCACAGAAGTTCCAAAATAACAGCTATTTTGTTAAAAACTATGCCGGGTACCTTTTGCCCAAGCACCTACTTTCTACTTAAAAATCAAAACTGTAGTATGTCCACAGCACAAGATATCACACCATATACACCGCTGCAGTACCGTACAAATCCGCTAGTACCCATGATTAAACTTAACCTTTGTTGTCCCAACCCCAACCTACCTACTAAATACATATACACCGCTGCAGTACCGTACAAATCCGCTAGTACCCATGATTGAACTTAACCTTTGTTGTCCCAACCCCAACCTACCTACTAAATATCATAAAGATCAGTTCAGTCCATTCGCGAACGAGGTGCCTTTTGGATACATACACCACACCTCAAGTAAGTTATAACGGTTAACGGTTACCACTTTTACCATAATTGCCAACCCCTACATATTTTACGAAGGTACGAAGTAAGACACAAGGTTTGAAATAATACCAGTAAAAATAGGGCATCAGCGGATTTTTCAGAGGGATTGGCTGATGTTCGCTTTTCCCTGCACTCCTTTAAGCGACGGTCACAACCCGCCGTACGTGCTTCTGCGTGCTGTCTACGTGCAAAAACGTGGGCAATCGTAGGGCATCCGTGCGTGGTGAGTACCGCCTCCGTACGGAATCCTACGGATTTGGGAGCACGCAGACACGCCGTAGAACTTTAAGTACATGTAAAACTTTTTCTACCTGCGGTCTGCGGATTCACCACCTGTGCGTGCGAGTACGGGCGACGCGCGTGCCCCGTACGTACCGTACGTAAGAAGTACGTGTGAGCACGGCCTCCTTACGGTAAAGTGGCAGTCGCACAGAGATCGTACGTTGTAAGCACGTGCCACTCACTCATCACTTGCGCAACGAACGATGCACGCAACCGCTCACGGCCAGACGTGGCGTGCAGACCACACTCTTACACCTTGCGCAACCGTGCGAGTGACGTGCGTCGACGCCACTCCTCCCCACGTTTTCAGAAAAAACCTAGCAGACGTGGTCTCCCAAAAAACGTACGGATAAAAAGCACGTACGGCGGGTTGTGACCAAGGCTTTATTTGCTTCTGACTGGTAGAGGCTGGCCACTGACCCCACGTCTGATTTGGTAGCCTAAGGCTATGCTATTTCGGGTACAAATTACTTAGTAGTAACACCCTTCTGGTAAACAGAAGGCCGAAGTTAGTGAACTTTGTAGCGCCCAGTTATTTAGAAAATCCCTTTTAAGGACCCGTGAATGTCATGATCAGGTCAGCAACACTGTCTTAGCCTCAAGCAACGATTTTTGTTAGGATAAGACTGACCCTCTTGCCCGTTTACATTGTGACTTACACACGGTGCCACGGCCAACTATGCCCATTGCTTTACATCATATGTTACTTTGACATTTCCATTGTGCGCAGACAGGTTTGGTGGCATTTTAGGTGACAGCTTTGCACGCTAAGGTCAGACGCTGTCGGTCGTTTGGTTGTATTGGTGAGAATGCTAGCCCGAGTATATCCAGTTTATCGTGGTTGGGGCAGGCTGTCTTCGGGGCTCTGATAGTTTTTTTCCCGCCCAGCTCAACAGACCGCCCGGTAAGAGTGTTACGCCTGTGATAGAGACGTCAAGGTGAGCTAGAGTTTTGCACGCCGGCAGTTGATTAGCCCACCGATCGTGGTGGGCCTAATCAAACTATCGCAAAACCTACCGGGGAACTGGTTCTACAACCACATTAGGCCACACCGACTTAAAATTTTATGGATGACATCCTCTGAAGACCCCCAAACTAGTGCGCGCGGGTGAATAAAAAAAGTCCCGGCCAAAAAGAAAAATTCTACTAAACCACGGGAATACAAAGCTGGTATTGTGAATTTGAGGCAGTACATAGCGACGTATACGACAAGCCGGTGCGTGCTTTCTTTTTTTGCGGAATTTTTTTTTTTATTCCAACATGCAATCACCAGACGTGGTGACGGCACACTCAAGTTTTTTCAACTTATATTAATGCCGCCACCAACACAGGGGACAAATACATTACAGGACAATACTCATTTACACCTGAGCTAAGTGAGGAAAGCCGTGTAAAGTGCCTTTCCCAAGGACACAAGATCGGTGGCATGTCAGGACTCGAACCCGGGACTCTAAGTTCCGAGTCGCGTACACTGCCGCTACGCCACACGACCCCACGAATTGCGGAATTTATGAATCGTTACTGTACTTAATGTACTGAGTTCTTGAGTTGTGGAGCTCCGACAGCCTGGGTGCCGTCCTTCGGATCGGCTCCATATTACCGCTAGCTACCATGGACTACCCAGGCCTAGAGCCAGGCCATATAGCCTCGGAGGACGTGATTTTTTTTGAGAACAGGTGAAAATCAATGTGCGCGTATATGTCATCCATAAATTAAGTCAGCGTGGCCTTATGAACGAAGAAAAGAAGTTTTCTTTACCTACTGGATGAAGCACGCCATAGTTGCATGACTCTAAATATCCATTGTGGTCGGAGAAAATAGGTTTTTTCTTCCAGAATAGGTAGGCAAGTTTTTATTATCATTTTGCACGGATAGAACATGTTTTTCGTTTCAGAATAGATACACATGCAAGTTCTAAATATTATTTCTGCATGAATAGAACAAGTTTATTTTGTTCCTGAATAGATCCGTAAGCTCTATCATTTCAACAACAATAATCATTTTATTTCTAACATTAATTTAATTTGTCTTGTATAAAGCTGGCATTACAATTGCTAGCTTGTGTCTTGGATGATGGCAAAACACGGACGTCTGCGGTACATTGAAGACGCCAAATGGCCGAAAGATGGCGGTCATTTCAGGGGGCCAGTGGTCAGTTGTGACGTTCTGTCAGTAGGGACAGTGACTGAAGTTTTCATCGCACAGGTAATACCATTTACATTCACATTAACACCATTGATATACTTAGTAGCCATTTCTACTAGAGAGGGGTGTTATTTTCTTCTTTATATTCAACTTTAGCCCTCATTTCCTTATGCTCCCATGTCTTACATTCATGTGAAAAAATAGAATTAAGCCCGACACCCTTCCCTGAAAATTATTTGTCAACCCTGAATTCGAAAATGCAAGATTTTGTCAAATTGCAAAGCTTTTGAGAAAGTAGAACCTAGAAATATAAGTACTTTCCACTACAAAACATGTAGTGCCAAGGTCATTTGGTACGTCAAAGTTCACCGAAATGGTCCAAAATCTTTCACAAATTCTGTTAACTTCAATGTAGGAAAAATTCATTATTGACTTATATGCTCTTTCATACGATATGTCATGTCGTAAATATTTTGTCAAATAAATAAGTCCAACTTCAAGATCATATCTATCTATCTGTCTGTCTATCTATATTTGAACGTCTTTTTTCGTCTTTTTATTTTATTTTTCAGAGGAGTGAGGAAGAAAAGGTGACAGTGTACACAGAAGAAGGGACTTTCCTTCGCAGTTGGACTACCGACAAACTTGACTCCCCGCACGGGCTGAGAGTGCATGTACCGCCGAGGGGTGGTCTGAATTCAGCGGAGGTGTGGGTGACTGACATCGGGCAAGGTATTAGATGCTTATGTCCCAGCCACATTTTCAAGTGGGTCTGCTACTGGTATATCCAGAACCGCACTTTATCCAGCACCATGGACAGACAGTTCTGGCCATGAATAGTTCATTCTACTCTTCCAGAACCGTGCCAGGGGCAAATCAACGTTCTATCCACAACCGTGCAATATATACCGAGCTTATCCTATCTCTTAACCCATTCAGGAAAAGAACTAGGTAGGCACGGTTCTGGATATTCTCCAAGTACCCAGGAACGTAGATTTGCCCCATGCAAAGTTCTGGATATGAGTAGGGTGGACTATCCAGAACCGTGCCTGATCCTAACTCTAACCCATTCAGGCATATATAGGCACAGTTCTGGATAGGGCCCATTCGGGAATTGGCTGTCACAGTAACAGTTACAATTCAAATTTTCCTTTACGCTACGAATCCTTGTAGGGACCATCCCTGGCAGATTTTAAATGCTGCTATATTCATATCTATATCTGTATATCTGTATCTATATTTTGTTTTCAATAACCAGGGATTAGCCAAATAAAGTACCTTGTACAGTACTATAAGTATCTTGCTAACTCGATAAAAATATCTATTTACGTATCTCTATATCGATATCTAACCATCTATATAGAGTACAGACGTACAGATAGAGAGAACATAGGGAGAGAAAGAGAGATGTATAAATATATAGTTAGACACTCAAGACGACTTCTTACGACCTCTCAGGGCCCTACGGTTGCTCCTTGAAGATGTTCGATCGCTACGGGAACCTTAAGATCACACTCGGCACGCCAGGGAAGAGAGGATCAGGCCTGGACCCATTACAGTTTGACCAAGTGTCGGACCTGGCGTTCAACCCTTCCGGAGACATGTTCGTTGTTGATGGCGACGATGGCATCAACCATAGACTGCTGAAGCTGTCAGCAGGTAAAGAAAAATTGATAACTAGAAAGGTAACATTTGCAAAGCAAATGAATAATGTTTACCTTCGTATATGGTCTGCTTTGTTAAGAATTACTCAAAACATATACGGCGACAGGGGTCTAAATCCCTCCTGCTATAAAATTGCAACATGATGTAACCCAACACCAGTTTCCATGGTGAAAAACGGAAGAAGAAACAGAGCAAAAACAATATGTTTTCCCAAAAAGAATTAAACTCAAAAAATAAATTTGACTCACCTGAAGTTTCGACCGAATCTCTCGTTCTTTATCAGCTATCAGGCCCAGGTCTGTAGACACGTGATTTTTTCCGCACGTATGGGGGTATGCATGTTGAACTTCGAAGGAGACTTCGAATTCGCCTCGGCCGCCACACTAGGCTCAAGTTCATTCCACCCGTATGAAGTGAAGATTTTTCTATTGTCTGATTTTTGTTCTCAGACCGCCGGTTGGTCTGGAGTGTTGGTGAGGAGGGCTCCAGGCCGGGTCAGTTCTACGTGCCACACAGTGTAGATGTAGACAGGTTCGGACAGGTATTTACTCATTCATTCATTCATTCATTCATTCATTCATTCATTCATTCATTCATTCATTCACTCACTCTTTCATTCACTCATTCATTCATTCATTCACTCATTCATTCACTCATTCATATGTATTTATTGACTCACTCCCTCGCTCCCTCACTCATTCATTCACTCCCTCGCTCATTCATTCACTCACTCACTCCCTCTCTCCCTCACTCACTCATTCACTCACTCACTCACTCACTCACTCACTCACTCACTCATTAATTCATTCACTCATATGAATTTATTGAGTATTTGGCAAGAAGAACTGTTACAGTAGTTGCTTATGTGACGCCTTCTACTTAAAACATAAAACGAGAGTAAAACACTGACAAAATACATAATTATATTATTACAAAATGGGTGAAGAAAAATGAGCATAAACAAGACAAATTGATGATCAGTTTCAAGTATCTACCTGTACAGTAAATAAAGGTTTGAACTACATTGAAAACATTACAGTTGTGTGGATATGTATTATATATGTATTATATATATTGGGCAGGTATGGGTGGCCGATAGAAGGAACAGTCGGATCCAGGTCTTTAACGGACAGACGGGCAGCTATATCGGCAAGTGGGATCTTGAGGAGCATGTCTATGGACTCAGGTGATTATTTCATTTTTATTTAATTATTAAACATGTGGAAGGTTTGAAAAAACAGGTGGCTATCACCTCTTCAAGATGTCAAACCTGAGACCAGACTGTATGATCTCATACGTTCTATCCGAGAAGACGTCGCTAGCCAAAGCTAGGTACTCATTTGCACCTGGGTGAAGTAAGGAAAATCGAGTAAATTGCCTTTCATAAAAGCACAAGATCGGTGACATGGCAGGATTCGAACCCGGGATCAATAACAAAAAATTATTACAAAGAAGTGCCAGTCAATAAAAAATAGTCAAAACAGAAATAATACTGAAACAAGATGAAGAACAGGTAATTGTGTGTTTATTTTTGTGACATACGACTGTACACGGCCCCGCTGTCCTTCTGCAGGACTGCTAGCCACTACATCTCTACAAAATATCGCAATATCTTTTCAGATCAGAATGTAACCATTGACTCTTTAGTGTAGGGAGAAAGTGCTATGTTCTTGGTAAGGCCATGTTGATTTGATTATATGGATGACATCCGCGCGCGGATGAATTTTCGGCCGTTTAAAAAAAAAAAGTTTTCAACCATACTGTAAATCGTACAAAACAGTTGCAAAATGAGCAAAAATATACCGTAAGTTACAAAAAAACCATACCAATGTCGTAGAATGCCAAAATCAAACGAAGAAAGACGAAATTGTAAAGAAATGAACTTGAAGACTAGATTACAGTATTTGCCAAACCATATTCTGTCCCATTTGTTCAACCCTCATGACCACGTAGATTTCATATAATGAAAACAACTTTTTTTTTTCAATTTTTTTTTATTCGCACGCGCGCATCAATTTTGGGGTTCCCGGAGGATGTCATCCATATAATCAAATCAACATGGCCTAAGGCCAAAAACAAATCACAAAAAATACTCAATTAAAAGAATGTTAATTATAAATGAGAATAACATAAGAATAACATGCCTTATATTTTTTTAGGTTCAGTACAGATAAGTCCTTGGTCCTTGTTCTCGAAGAGTTGGTCGGCAACCTTTTGATGTTCGAGTCTCCGGATATGCCTGGTTACCTTGGTAACTACAGGATGATTGGCATTTTGCACGTGCCGACCCCGGTCATACCGCACCTGTTCTGTGTGAGCCAGGTAACTATGGCCTTGTTCATATGAAGTCACCCGAACCGCGATTCGGGTAACTCGCATTCCTCACATCTGGTCCACGTGCCACACATTCCTTTCAAACCGTGTCCGATGACGATTCTCCGAATCTACATTAATTATTGTTTGATGAAAACACGCAAGGTTGATGTCAGGTCAACGACCTGCTTGCTGGTGCCCCCCTCCCAGCGTATCTCGGCCGAATGCCGACGTTGTCCCGCCAGAGGCGGCGAAACTCGTCCTAGAATGGACACATTATTCGATATTACTGCTCTTTAAGTTGCTGCCACGTAAATTATGGTATTGCATATAAATAAAGAAATACCACACCGTAATCCATGACCAGGCGAAGTCACATTGAAATCACATTGCGTTCAGACGCACATCGCGATCCGGGAAAACCGGTTCGAAACCACCTCCCGAAGTAGTTTGGGATCGAGGCGCTTTCAATGTGATTTGGAGCGTTCAGATGGGGCCACTTGAAACCGGCTTCGGGATAAACCACATGTAAAGCGCCTTCACTGACTTCATATGAACAGGACCTTTGACTTTATTCGGATCCACATTTAGCTGTAGCATTTAGCTTAGCTGTTCTTCCAGTGGTCCATTACATAATACAATACAACAATACAAAATAGCAATTGCCACATGCACACAATAACATTGACACATTGTAACAACACAGACTACTATGCTTAAAAATACAATACATAATGCCATCTGTGTTGGTAGTTACATATTTAAAGTTAAAACTTTTGGTCCAACACAAAAAATTCTCTCACCTTCAACCGCGACGGGGGCTGACATCGTCTACCAGATACCTTTGACCCAGTGTTGACGTCACACTTCAAAGAAGCCACGTGACAAGCTTCACTGGGTCAGTCTACTGAGGAAGACCAGAGTGATTGGTCGAAAGCTCTAGGTGAGAGAATTTTTTGTGTTGGACCGAAAGTTTTAACCTTAAACAGTACATAATGTCAATCAAACACATGCAACTGTCCTATCTTGTGAAGTGTTCCAATTATTATAATTAGCCATTCGGTACAAGAGCCTCTTGTTTTCAGGTAACAGAAGCTGTGTTCATCGCTCAACTTGGAGCTGGACGGTGCCAAAAATTTGTCCTCAAGAAAAGGAAGACAGCGCGTTGGCTTTGGCTGGGAATCGTATGTTGTTGTTTCCAGAACAGGTCGGTATCCCAAGTAGGCTCCAGGACCCGCCTGGCCTGGGATTGAACCTACTTGGGATAGCCCTGCATCCAGAGCGGGTCATAATTCCAACTAGGCTGGGCGAGCCATCTGGGATATCCCACATATCTCACGGGATCAGACCTACTTGGAATAGACATGCATCCAGAATGGGCCGTAATCCCAAAGAGGCTCAGAGACCCGTCTGGGAGATCACAGAATAGGTCGCGGGATCAGACCTTAATTTGGAAAAGACCTGCATCCAGAATGGGCCGTAATCCCAAAGAGGCTCAGAGACCCGTCTGGGAGATCACAGAATAGGTCGCGGGATCAGACCTTAATTTGGAAAAGACCTGCATCCAGAATGGGCCGTAATCCCAAAGAGGCTCAGAGACCCGTCTGGGAGATCACAGAATAGGTCGCGGGATCAGACCTTAACTTGGGATAGCCCTGTATCCAGAACGGGTCATAATTCCAACCAGGCTCGGCAACCTATCTGGGATATCCCACATATCTCGCGTGATCAGACCTACTTGGAATAGACATGCATCCAGAATGGGCCGTAATCCCAAAAAGGCTCAGAGACCCGTCTGGGAGATCACAGAATAGATCGCGGGATCAGACCTTAATTTGGGATAGTCTGCATCCAGAATGGGTCGTAATCCCAAATAGGCTCAGCGACCCATCTGGGATATCCCACATAGGTCGCGGGATCAGACCTTAACTTGGGATAGCCCTGTATCCAGAGAGACAGCGACAGAGAAGGGAAAAGAGAAGGAAGGAAGAAAAAAAAGAGAAATGTGAATAACATGTAGTCAAGAAGCACATTGATTATGACAATATGGTAAAGCTATTCTAAATCCTAAAACATAACAGACTATAACAATAACACGAAAGAAGGCCGGTATGTAAATAGGATAGCTCTTGATTTGGAAAATTTTAAATGATTTGGGTTTGTACATATTACCGAGATATACGACTAGGTATCTTGCAATATGACCACGTACATTCCAAATGTTTTGTTTTCTCTTACAAAACAATACCACTTAAAACACAAGCATTAACATGTACAGTGTAGCTTTTTGTAAACTGGAATAATGCATGGTCATTAAGTATAACGTAATTTACATGTACACAATTCATCCCGTAAATATAGTGGTAGAAAACGTACTAAATATTAGTGGCAGGATGCAATTCTGATAAACTACCATTGTCATGCATGCAATTTTGTTTAAAGATGCTTGCCAAAAGTTGAATATCAATTCCTTTCAATCTGCCAAATTAGCAGACCAATATAAGTAGTATTTTTTTTTAAATGTCAGTATAAACTCATGAGGAAAATAGTCGAAATAACCTCTATTTTATAGTCGGAACAAAGCACCACCACAGGAAATACAAAATGTTTATTTTTTTAAACATAAATGCATTTGCTTTGTGAAGTTGCCTTTTGTGTAAATGTGTGATACAACTTATATGCATGTTATTATATTATATTACATTATATTATATTATATTATATTATATTATATTATATGCAGCTGCATGTTATTTTTGAAAAGTCCAGCTTTGAAGACTTGTGGTGAACCCTTGGGAACACTACCAATGGGTTTCTGAATAAAGTTTCACTAAAAATGAACTGAATACATCAATGTACCATCGTGTTACTGTCCAAGCAGAGATTTGGGTTTTGGGTTATTTAGTTTTTTTTTTCTGTATCTGTATAGCCGGTATAACCGCCCTTCGCACTTTGGCGTAACACACCAGCTTCGCAGGCACGCGGCGTGGCGGCAGCTAGCTATATCACTCTCAATCTTTGCACATTTAATTGCAGGAGTTGTTTTTTTGGCGTGTTTTTACGCTTTCTTTTTTTGCACTGGTATCTCTTTTTACGCCAATCTAATGTCTGTTGTGTTAGCGTAAAAAAGATATTAGTGCAAAAAAGAAAGCCTCATTAAAAAGCCTGAAACCTCGCCAAAAATATGCCAAAACCGAGACCATTGCTTGGAGAGTACCGCCGTGTTAAGCCTCGGTCACAACCCGCCGTACGTGCTTTTTCTCCGTACGTTTTTTGGGAGGCTACGTCTGCTACGTTTTTTTCTGAAAACGTGGGGAAGGAGTGGCGTCGACGCACGTTACTCCCACGTTACTCGCACGGTTGCGCAAAGTGTAAGAGTGGGGTCTGCACGCCACGTCTGGCCGTGAGCGGTTGCGTGCATCGTTCGTTGCGCAAGTAGTCAGTGAGTTGTACGTGCTTACAACGCACGATCTATGTGCGATTGCAACTTTACCGTAAGGAGGCCGTACTCACACGTGCGTCTTACGTACGGTACGAACGGGACACGCGCGTCGCCCGTACTCGCACGCACGGGTGGTGAATCCGTAGACCGCACGCAGAAAAAGTTTTACATGCACTTAAAATTCTACGGCGTGTCTGCGTGCTCCCAAATCCGTAGGTACGGAGGCGGTACTCACCACGCACGGATGCCCTACGTTTGCCCACGTTTTTGCACGTAGACAGCAGAAGCACGTACGGCGGGTTGTGACCGTGGCTTTAGGCAATGATTTCATACACATCGTTGGCCCAGAAGCCTCCTCTGCCTTCCCCGAGGCATTCGGTTGAACGACCGTACTTCTGGTACGTATGTTCCGCCGTGGACGACCCAAAACACTGCCCGTTATCCTGCACGGCAAAGACTTTGTAACGCCGATCTTTGGCCACCTTGTAGCAAATTCTGACAGGGTCTTTACGGTGCCATGGCCAGTACGACGGGCCATGTATTGTATATCTAGATTTTAGTCGCGGGTCTGTGTTCTCCATTGGGCTGATTGCTCGCCCAGGCATGTCTCTCCAGCAGCCAAGTTTCTTCAACTTCATCGGGTATTTGTCTTAATTAAGAAAAAAATAGTTACTCATCATTAAACATAACTTATTCAAGTAAGGACCTCATTTGCATAATTTGTGAGGAAATGCTAGAATGTCCTAGGTTGCCTTTGGGTGGAGAATATGAACAACTGATATACTAGTAATTCATGCAAATTCATGCAAAAGGATTGTAATGGAGACCAGTACTATGTGTGAAATGACAAACAAGTTCGGACACTTACTTGTTTCATAAGGCAACTACAATAGGCAAAACAACTTAGAATAGTTGATGTCTAATCTTAACCGTTCCAAGATCAAAGAAAAAAAAACAAGACTGTCAATGAAAACATACATTGCCATGGAGGCGGTGGTTGCTGTTAGGGTTATTTTTTCATGATTTTGAGGAAGCCTTGGTACCCTCCCCTCCCCTGAGTGTATAGAGCCCCAGGGTCACAGAAAGTTGGGCATCCCAAGGGTTTCCAGGAATGTGGGCACGTCAACAAACAGAGCTGTGAGACATTCCTGTGGACATTCCATGCCTGTGGACAAAATGCCTGTACCATTCCTAGAATTCTTAGAATAAACTACACACAATACTGTACCATTAGGCTCCTCCCAGAGACGTCGCCAAAAATCTTTGCTAGCATTATACATGCACGTATACATTGGAGACAGGCTTCAAAACAAAAACAATACCTATACATCCAGTTCCCTTAGCGAGGCCATCTCCGGCAAAGTCAGTTTCACAGGTACAAGTCGCGTCCAGAGCAGGAGCGGGGTTATCTGTACAGACGGCCTTGGCGTGACAAGGGTTAACCAGGCAGGCGTCGATGTCTGTTGGTGGCAATGTTAAGTAACCATTAGAAAGATGTAAAAATAGACGAAAGTACAAAACATGGTTACTGAGAAAGGGAAAAAAGGAAAATTAAATCAAGGAAATGAAATAAAAAATAAAGAAAAAACTAGAAAGGTAACATTTGCAAAGCAAATGTATAATGTTTACTTCCGCATAATTCTTACTCAAACACATTCATATCAATGGTGACAGCAGTCTAAATCCCTAGGCCCTCCTGATATAAAATTGCAACATGATTCAACACCAGTTACCATGGTAATAGACTGTATGGCCCAGGCCATTGACCTTTTGTGTTTTGAGAAGAGGAAACTGAGCAAAAACAATATATTTTCCTTCGGTAAACATAAAAAAAGAAATAAAAAAAGGTGTTGAAAAATGATACCCAAACATCCAGTTCCAGTGACAAGACCATCTCCTGTATATTCAGTCTTACAGGTACAAGTCGCATCCAGGGCAGGAGCGGGGTTATCTGTACAGGTGGCCTGGGCGTGACAAGGGTTAACCAGACAGGCGTCGGTATCTGTAGATGACAAAACATGCATGACAATTATTCCATAAAAGAAGATAATGATTGGTGGCAAAATTGAGCGCTAGTTATCAAGATGTAAAGATAGCCAAAAGTAGCTATTTGAGTAGTAAGAAAGGAAGAAAGCAAGAAAGGAAGCAAGAAAGAAAGAAAGAAAGAAGAAAGAGAAAGAAATAAAGAAAGAAAGGAAGAAAGAAAAAGAAAGAAAGAAAGGAGAAAGAAAGAAGAGAGAAAGAAAGAAAAAGGAGAAAGAAGAAAGAAAGAAGAAAGAAAGAAAGACAGAAAGAAACAAGAATTCCGAGACTTCATACCTCCATGAAATATGGGCTTGATATGTAAATGTAAATTTCCTCTTTAATTATGCAAATTACCTCCGCATTAACATGATATATGCATCGTGATGTATGTTAACTTTTGATTAACTTACAGATGTCCCAAGTATGACATTCCCATTATTCACCATTAAGAAACCATAGAATTTTTGTATAAATTATGCAAATTAGGTCATCATTTGCATAATTAGTATCTGTTGACGTTCTGCCTGCCATAGGTTACATACATTACATGTATGAAAGTAGTATAATGTAAAACACTGTAATCATAGAATTTCCTCATTAATTATGCAAATAAAGTCCTCATTTGCATAATTTGCATTTAATCATGTACATCTCTCTCTCAGCTACCTACACACCAAAAATTATGAAAATATGTTGTTCCTATCTGGACTTATTGGCTTTTAAACATTTCGCCAGAAAGTGCCCTGCAGTTCCAAAACAAGCTGCTAGGGGGACCAAACTCACACCACTTATTCCTGACAGAAAAAGCAATATGTCACCAAAACATCAAGACCATAGCATGTTCAGGACAAAAGATACAAAAACCGGAAGTTCTGCTGCAGTACCAAGGTCATCCCCCAGGAGGCCCATATTTGACCTTGACGTTTGTCTTTCTAAGACTAACCAACATACCAAATGTCATCATAATCCATAAAGGCGTTCTGAAGTTATGCTGACCACAAAGTTGCGGAAACACAGACAGACAGACAGACAGACACACATACATACATACATACATACAGACAGACACGCCAAAAACAATACCTCCATTTTTCATGGAGGTAACTAATACTAAAATATGATTCTAACGAGCTAATCTATTGTGTTTTCTTAGGAAAAGTATTATTACATTCTGTAATTCAGGGGATATATTAGCTATTTACAATATGGTGTCGCTTTTGTAGTGATTCAAATATGAATTCCAAAGTACACTGATAACTGAGTAGGACATGAAAGGAGCATATATAAGATATCTGATTTTAAGTGAGGTAGCATAACATTAGTTCTGGAAGCTATGGATTGCATCAACTTTTGTCTGAACGTCTGGAAAGCAAGATTTATCACTGCAATTCACCTCAAAGAACGGTAATGTTTTACGTGTAACAGTTTGGGCTACAGCCTATGAACGGTATAAAACTAACGTCTTTTCTATTTCACTCCTTCCAATATCTGCTTTAAGATTAGTGTACCAACGAAAATACATTTAAAAATACAAGAGTTCCGAGATCTCATACCTCCATGAAATATGGACTTGATATGTAATTGTAACTTTCTTTTTTAATTATGCAAATGACCTCTGCATTAACATGATATATACATCGTGATGTATGTTAACTTTTGATTAACTTACAGATGTCCCAAGTATGACATTCCCATTATTCACCATTAAGAAATCATATACTTTTCGCATTAATTATGCAAATTAGGTCATCATTTGCATAATTAGTAACTGTTGATGTTCCGCCTGCCATAGGTTACATACATTACATGTATGAAAGTAGTATAATGTAAAACACTGTAATTATAGAATTCCCTCATTAATTATGCAAATAAAGTCTTCATTTGCATAATTTGCATTTAATTATGTACATCTCTCTCTCAGCTACCTACACACCAAAAATGATTAAAATATGTTGTTCCTATCTGGACTTATTGGCTTTAAACATTTCGCCAGAAAGTGCCCTGCAGTTCCAGAACAAGCTGCTAGGGGGACCAAACTCACACCACTTATTCCTGACAGAAAAAGCAATATGTCACCAAAACATCAAGACCATAGCATGTTCAGGACAAAAGATACAAAAACCGGAAGTTCTGCTGCAGTACCAAGGTCATCCACCAGGAGGCCCATATTTGACCTTGACCTTTGTCTTGCTAAGACTTACCAACATACCAAATATCATCATAATCCATAAAGGCGTTGTGAAGTTATGCTGACCACAAAGTTGCGGAAACACAGACAGACAGACAGACAGACAGACAGACAGACATACAGACAGACACGCCAAAAACAATACCTCCATTTTTCATGGAGGTAAAAAGAGACGTCACCAAAAAATCAATAAAAAAATCAAGAAAGAAAGAGGACATTAAGTTAAAAAATGATACCCAAACAGCCAGTTCCAGTGATGAGACCATCTCCTGTATATCCAGTCTTACAGGTACAAGTCGCATCCAGGGCAGGAGCGGGCTTATCTGTACAGACGGCCTTGGCGTGACAAGGGTTAACCTGGCAGGCGTTTTTATCTGCATTTAAGGCAATAAAAATGATTAGTATTCAGTATGAAACAAAGTATTGTAGTTTATATTTTGAATAATTCACTTGAAGGTACAAAATTATATAAATGAAATTTAACTAGAAAAGACTAAACATAATTTTTGACATATGATAATAACATCAATGCCTCGCCTTATCCTCGGTGTCTATGGTGAGATAATCCCGCTACGCTCACTCGGTGGTTTATTTGGTGGTTATCGCACTGACTATGGATTATCTCACCATGTACACCTTGGGGCGGAGTATTGACCCCTCATTATTTATCATAGCGAAGTTTGGAAACACAAAATTCAATGTTCAATAAAATCATTTTATAACAGGAATTCGAAGATCTCATACCTCCATGAAATATATGAGCAAACCCACACCACTTATTCCTGACAGGAAAAGCTATCTGTAACCAAAAAGTCAAGAACGGAAGGTCTGCTGCAGTACCAAGGTCATCCACCAGGAGGCCCATATTTGACCTTGACCTTTGTCTTCCTAAGAACTACCAGCATACCAAATACCATCACAATCCATAAAGGCGTTATGAAGTTATGCTGGCTACAAATGTGCGGAAACACAAACACACGAAGACAGACAGACACACACACACACAAGGACACGCCAAAAACAATACCTCCATTTTTCATGGAGGTAACTACAGACGGGCTTTAGAAAATTTACCTGAACATCCAGTTCCAGTGAGGAAGCCATCTCCTGTATATCCGACCTTGCAGGTGCAAGTAGCACGTAACACGGGAGCGGGGGTGTCTGTACGGGTGGCCTTCATATCACATGGACTAGCCAAGCAGCTACCTGTTTGTGAGCAATAACTTATATCAGAATTCAGCTTTAAGATGACAGCTAAAGTAACACCTTACCAGGAAAAATATGAGTTTTAGATGATAAAATATGTGAATGTGCTATGTACAAATGCTTTACAATTTGGAACTGTTTGCTGTTGCCATATTGTATCTATTTCTAGAGTAACACATTCTTAATCTGCGATGATATGCGATGATAAGCCAATATCTTATGCTTCACGAATTGTTAATACATGACTATTAAACCTTCTAACTACATATATTATATTTTCGAAACATTTTACAATAGTTGCTGAGAAATTCATTTTGTCCATGTTTTGTCAATAAATGTTTCATTAAAAGTAAAGACGATCTTACCTTGGGCGGAGGAAACCATGGTCGTTGTGCGTTTCAGTTGCATTTTTGCTTCCCGTAAGACATGTTCTAAGCGATCTTCAACTTCCTGAACTTGTTGCATCTGGATCCATCCAGGCGACCGCGGAAAACGCCCTGGGAGGTCATACCGATTCCTGGAAAATGCAAGCCTTGGAATGGAATTCTAGAAATCACATTTCCCATACTCTTAGCTTGTTGACTTTTAAGCTTTGAAGAATGCAAGGCTAATTTCGAGGTAAGTTTTAACTACATTGTGTAAAATAGCTTTTATTTGTTAATCTCCATATTTGTGCGATATTTCTCCTTAGTGTCACACTGTATGTATCTTTGTATGGTTACAGACTGGCCAATTTGATACTGCCTTACCCCCACCAAAAGATCTGCTTGGAGATTAATCTTAGGGCACAGGAGCCCAAAATGTACATTTCTGGTCCGGAAATAGCCAAAAAGCCCTATTTTACATAATTTTGAAGTGGTGTATGTCAAAAGCATGAAAGACATTCTTTGGACATGTGTCCAAGGTATCTTCATACCGAATTTCAGGTCATTCGGATTTAATGCTAGGGCACAGGAGCCAAAAATGTACATTTATTTGTCCGAAAATAGCTCAGTACCCTGAAAAAAAAACTATTTTTGACAATGTTTAAGTGGTGTGTGTCAAAATCTTGAATGAGATTTTGTAGATATATGTGCAAGGTATCCTCATACAAAATTTCAGGTCATTTAGTTTTAGTACTAGGGCTCCAGATCCCAAAATGTATATTTTTTTTGCCTGAAAATGGCAAAAAAAGACCAAACAAACAAACAAACAAACAAACAAATAAAACACTTTTAAAGGCCTGTTTAAAAACATGAAAAAAAAAAAACATCTGGGGTATTTGCCCACTCTACCTCTATGCCTATTTTCAGGTCGTTTGGCTGAAAATGGCAGAGTTGAATCCCTTAAAAGAAATGGCAGGAGGAGGAGGAGAAGAAGCAGGAGAAACATGAGAGAAAGCAATATGGCGAAGTGGTGTGGTGAAGCCATAACAATATGTTTTCCTTGCGAGTCGGTAAACATAAATAATTATACTCACGCCTGATTGAAGATGTAAACAGTTGGGACTGCAGTTGTCTTCTTGACTACTCCAAACGACGCCTTTTGGTCGAGAGTTTGGCCAGAGAAACTGCAGAGAGCCAAGACAACGGTGACGCACAGGGCAGTTATACTCCACCCTGTACACGCCATGCCGCGCCTAGAAATGTTTACTGGCTCCTTAGCTAGTCTTTACAATTCATCCCAGACTAATTATAATTAATAGCTTTGTAAACATCATCATTATTGAATAGCAAAGTTCTTTGATCACAACCATTTATTTTTCACGAGCCGACGTTTCGATGACCGTCTGTCATCTTCATCAGGGCAATTCTGACTGGTTTACTATGCACTGACACTAGATGTTACTTGGTGCATAGTGCACTAAATGTGTTACATGGTTCACAGTGGACGTAAGCTAGTTTTTACTGTTAACAATGCATTTCCGAACGTAGTGCAATTGTGACATACATACTAGGCATTGTTATAGAGGGACTTATGCGGTTCCAAATGTAATGTGTTTCTATATAATATAAAATTTGTTACAATACTGAGCTATCGCAGTCCCAAATAAAAAAAAGAAAAGTAAATGGTTGCCATCAAAGAACTTTGCTATTCATTCGTTTACCAACCTGATGAAATTATTTACAGATTATCATTATTGGCAGTCAAGTCGGGAAGACCTTTGTGATCAAAGAAGTAAGAACACCACACTCCACTGCCTACAGAAAAGGAATCAAACCCAACATTAACTGTATCCAAAGTAGCATTAGCATTCTTATTATCGCTTTTACTGTTTATTTTTTATCATATGTTCTTGCAATTAACCTAGATTAAGGCATAAATTTGCTTTCTATTATTTTAATAATTTTTTTTTTGTAAAAACACCGCCCATATATATTAAAAAGACCACTGGTTGCTGCCACCTCTTTTGAAATATTGTGTCCTTAGCTAGTCTTTACAATCCATCTCACAGACTAATTATATGTGATCAAATAGTAAAACTGCCGCCTCTTTTGAAAGAAAATCACTGTTTAAAGGTCATTTTTGATAAAAGATTGACTTTCTCCAAGGACTTTAGAATTGTATATATTAGAATTGTATAGTTCTTGTTAAATCTACCCTTATTGTTTATTCTTTGCCATACATTGTAAAAGTTACAGTTCTTGAGCAATATTAAAAAGTCGATTTGATTTGATTTGATTTGAAAATGTGTGAGCCCCGTTTACCCCATGTGGAGCCTCTACTGATTGAGGTCAACGTGAGGTCAAGGTGAGAACGAGGCTGCGTGTCCGCCATCTTGTCGGCTGGTTCCCCTCGGCAGCCATGTTGCGATCCGCCGCCCAACTCCGCTGCTGTTTACGGCGGATTCCGGGGGTTAAACTCGCCCCCGGGACGGGAACAACCTCGGGCAGGGCCGCGGTGGTACGATGCGGCTGTTCGGCGGCCCACATCGCCGCTAGATCCCGGTAAGTTGGACGTCAAAGTGCGGTGACCTTCGTTAGGTTACAGACGCTTTGGTATGCCCCCCTCCCCCAACAAGATTTTTCAGTAAGAAAAAAAAAATCTACCACAAGCCACAAATTTTTGTCACTCCGACTAAAACACCATATTTAGGTAATATTTATAATTGTTACTTATATATAGTTTATTATTATTTGCTCATTTGCAAATAGATATACTGTGTGACGGTCAACCGAAATATTTTATTTGCCCCTCCCCCTAAATTATTATACCGGATTCACTAGTACTTCACTTTATAATATAACGAAAATAGTTATTATAAACAAGATTCATTCATATGCTGACAAGATTTACAAAGCAAAGAATGTATGAAGTTTTTAATTGAGTGCACCCTTTTACTTTAAAATTCAATATTGTTTTTGATGTAAAAATTAAAAGTAGGTCACTTGTTGGTTACATAATGCACCAGTCTTTAAAAGTTACCCTTTGGCTTATGTTAACTTAGTAACTTATATATATCTTTGTAATAAATAGCATACCTTTGAAATGACATCTAGTTGGATATGAAAAAGTAATATACTTTTGATTAATTTGAAAGTGTATACAATGTTTCTCTTATAATTAATATACATATATTGTACATGACTGATCTAGACTTTCCGAGCCCTTACCAAACCATACTTTTTTCTGCAATCAAAATTATAACCTACCAAAAATTGGAGCATAGTAGATAATAAGATTTTTTTCATACCATGTTTAGGGCAACCTTGGCAAATTTAAAGCCTCAAAATGGAAGAATGGTCCTGCTTATGCCGAGAAGACTCTACTCATCAGATGGTATGTCTTATTATTTCTTAAATCTTCTCATAACTTTCTTTAAGACTTCATTGTCATTGTAAGGCCACACTAATTTAATTTGTTGGCTCTCTGATTTTTTCAGAAGAAATAAGAAGCGACAGGGCGAAAAAATAAAAATAAGAACAGGTCTATGTATCCTATTATAGCCCCAAATGCTACGAATACAGTACGATAGGAGCCATTAAGTCAACACAAAAGGCTGGGTTAAAATTCAAACGACAAATTTTGAACCTTTAATCAAGCCACTGCATTGATACTGATAGATGGAAAAATTGCAAGTAAGAAGAAAAGGACTTTCCTCAATTGTTCAGAGCAAAATATGAGCATTTTTGAGTTGATTCAGAACCAGAATCTTTTTTTTTTTTTTGCAAATCAGAAAAAAATGAAGAGGCGAATCCGAGACCCAACAAATTGGTGTGGCCTTAGTATAGTTTAGAATGGATGGATGAAGTTTTTTTTTATTTCTCAACAATAGTACATGGTGTATAGTTATGTTTGGCAATAAATGGAAAATACTACAAGACTAATTATAACTAAGAATATTATTGATGACAGTATATGACTTATCATATAGCTAGGTATTGACAATTTGGTCTTTCTTTTGGAAGAAAAACGTGTTTTTCTAGCATCTCTGTATCTGTATAGCCGGTATAACTACCCTTCAGCATAACACACCAACTTCGAAGGCACGCGGCGCGGCGGCAGCTGGCTATATTACACCGATCGACTTGTTACACCTAACCCTTGAATTTTTAACTTTAAGCAAATTGCATCTAATGATGATGCCCCTACTGTACTTGGTGACAGCGAGTTCCACTCTGCGATAGTTCTAAGAAAGAATGAGTTTTTGAAGACCTCAATCCTTGATTGATAGCCCTGGTACTTGAAGGCATGGTTATTTCTTGTTCTTTTCTGAGCTGGTATTATATTAGGTACTTAGTACTTGACAGCAAGACAGCAAGATAGCAAAGCTGGGAACTCTGGATGGCGGCCCAGAGGAAAAATGGAACCGCCTTAAAGAGTGCATCACAGCAACAGCAAAGTCAGTACTAGGGCCCAAGACACGTCACCATCAAGACTGGTTTGACGAGAATGACGAAAGCATCCAAGTCCTCCTAAACGAAAAGAGAAAAGCCTACACTGAATGGCAAAACTGCCCAAGCACTCCTCGTCACGACAAGTATAAAATGGTGAAGGCTAGAGTACAAAAACAGCTTCGAGCCATGCAAAACGAATGGTGGGAACAGAAAGCTATCGAAATACAACACTATGCAGACTCAAACAATTCAAAAATGCTGTTTGCTGCCACAAAAGCCATATATGGCCCCCAAAGTGGGAAAACTGCACCCCTAATGTCAGCTGATGGTCAAATTGTCATCAAGGACAAAGAAGGAATTAGTGCCAGGTGGGAAGAACACTTCACCAACCTCCTAAATCGACCTTCTCCAGTTGACGAGGCAGCACTTCAACAAGTCCCTCAGAGGTCTATCCAGGAAAACCTGGACCTACCCCCCACTGAGGAGGAAGTGAAGACTGCCATCAGACAGATGAACAATGGAAAGGCACCAGGAAAAGACGGAATCCCAGCAGAACTGTACAAGTCTATGGGTGAAACTGCTTTCGAAGCCTTCCATGACCTTCTTCTTACCATCTGGGAGACGGAATGCATGCCATCAGACCTCAGAGATGCTACAATCATAGCACTGTACAAAAACAAAGGACAGAAATCAGATTGTGGCAACTATAGAGGAATATCTTTGCTCTCCATTGCCGGAAAAATCCTTGCCCGTATCCTTCTTAACAGACTGATCAGCAATGTCTCCGAGAGTAACCTTCCTGAGGCGCAATGCGGGTTTCGCCCAGGTCGCAGCACCACGGACATGGTGTTTGCTCTGCGGCAAGTCCAAGAAAAGTGCATTGAACAGCGAAAGGACCTCTTCGCTGTGTTCATCGACCTGACTAAAGCTTTTGATAGCATTAACAGAGAAGCACTATGGACTATCCTTACCAAACTGGGGTGTCCTAAAAAATTCACCACGCTAGTGAGGTTATTCCACGACAACATGACAGCACAGGTGTTGATTGGTGGGGACTTCTCCAAACCCTTCAATATCACCACAGGTGTAAAGCAAGGGTGCGTGCTCGCACCAGTGTTGTTCAACTTGTTTTTCACACAAGTCCTTCTGCACGCTGTGAAAGATCTTGACCTTGGGGTATACATCAAATACCGTTCAGACGGATCAGTCTTTGACCTACGCCGCCTGCAAGCTCGAACAAAGACTGTGGAAAGGCTCATACTAGAAGCCTTGTTTGCGGACGACTGCGCTCTCTTGGCGCACATGGAAAACCACTTACAACTCATTACTGACCGTTTTGCCACAGCTTCAAAGCTCTTTGGCCTGACAATCAGCCTTGGCAAAACCGAGGTGTTAGTGCAACCAGCACCAAACACAATGCTACCTGCGCCTAGTATCAAAATTGATTCTGTTGTGCTGCAAAACAAGGAACACTTTACTTACCTGGGTAGCACAGTCTCAGCAGACGGTTCGCTGGACAAAGAAATCTCATGCAGAATCCGGAAAGCCAGTCAGGCATTGGGAAGGCTGAGGGCCAAGGTACTTCAGCAAAGAGGAGTGAAACTGTCCACAAAGCTTAAAATCTACAATGCCGTAGTGATCTCAACACTGCTCTATGGATGTGAAACGTGGACACTGTATCGTCGGCACATAAAGCAGCTGGATAAATTCCACATGAGGTCATTGCGCACCATTATGAACATCCGCTGGCAGGATAAAATCACTAACCAGGAAGTATTGGACAGAGCCCAATCATCAAGCATTGAGGCATTACTACTGAAGGCTCAACTACGTTGGTCTGGTCACGTCAGCAGGATGGATGATAGCCGTATCCCCAGACAGTTGTTGTACGGAGAGCTCAAGCTGGGTTCCCCGCCGTAGGGGTAGGCCAAAACTGAGGTACAAAGATGTACTTAAGAACAACCTTCAGTGGTGTGGTATCAAGCCATCCGAGTTTGAGGCAGCTGCCGCTGATCGGCCAGCCTGGAGGGCTCTTGTGACAAAGGCCACATCTGCGTTCGAGGAGGAAAGGAGGAGACGCCTCGAAGCCGTGAGGGAAAAGCGTCATAGGACAACAACAGCTACTAGTACTACAGAATACCAGTGCAGCAGGTGCGGGAAGCTGTGTGCCTCAGCCTTTGGGCTAAGAAGTCACCAGAGGATCCACCCCACCTGACGGGCTGTGCACAGAAGTCATCATCGGAGACGATGGACAACCAGAGAGAGAAAGTAGTTGGTACGTCCACCATTTCAAACCATATGTTTTTAGACTTTTGTTCAAGCTGTATTTTCTCCCAACCCCAGGCCTCCCAGCTCACCACAAAGTGGTGCTGCCAGCACTGTCACCCACTATGGAGATGGGCACCATCGTGAGTTGGGAGAAACAGGTTGGTGATCAGCTGAACGAGGGAGACCTTCTGGCAGAGATCGAAACGGACAAGGCTACCATGGGGTTCGAGACACCAGAGGAGGGGTACCTTGCGAGGATATTCATCGAAGCCGGAGCGAAAGATATCCCCATAGGGAAGGTAGGTTAATCTCAAAATGTTCACGGCAATTTTATTTTGATACCCTGCATGACACATAATGTATTTATGTTTACCTTCCCAGAAGGAAAACAATGTATTTCTCTGCCTCTTCTTCTCCAAATAAATGAGGTCAATCAATGACCTGGACAAGATGGCTGCGATGTTGGAATAGATTATGTAGCAAGTTATAGCTAGGGCTGGTCACCGTACATATGATTGTGTTTGAGTTAGAATAAACTCTAACAAAAGTTTGTTTGGCTAGATCGTGTGAAGGTAAATTCGTCAAGATTGGGCAAAATTTTTGGAATTATTAGCGGCAAATTTCCATGAAATGAGAGAAAGACGGATACTGGTTAAAACACTGTCTAATAGTGCTGTGTACCGGTTGACTGGACTTGGATCCAAAATTTTTAGGTTCAAGTCCAAAAAGAACTAAAAGTCAAGAACCGAGCCGGACTTATACAATACATAAAAGACAATTTCACATAACCCTTTCCTTTCCAAACCACCTAAAACCTTCCGAAGATTGCAAAATCTTTGCTGCAAAATGAAGAAAACATTGCCATCGTCAAGTGTTGGCCTCCATGTTATGTGGCCAAAGTTTCACCCAGACAACATTGCAAGGTTGCCAACATGCAATTTTGTATATGCCGTGGGTTTAGGTCCGGAACTGAACCTAAACCTCTGGACTTGAATCCGGACCTGAACCTAAATGTGGGTTTAGGTACACAGCACTATTGTCTAACACTGTGAATGGATGTTGTTTTGTGCAGCTGCTGTGCATCATTGTTGAGAATGAGGACGACATCGCCAAGTTCAAGGACTGGAGTCCACCGGCTGATGCTGAACCAGCAGAAAAACCACTGCCAAAACCAGTCTCTGAACCGGTAAGGCTTGCTGAAGAAACAAATAAAGGCATAGGCCGTAACCATTATCACATCCAAAAACTAACATTTTCGTGAATAATTTCATCAGGTGGGGGAATAATAGCTGGTGTGTTACGCCGAAGGGCGGTTCTACCTGCTATACAGACACAGAAGCTGGTGTGTTACGCCGAAGGGCGGTTCTACTGGCTATACAGATACAGAGGCTGGTGTGTTACGCTGAAGGGCGGTTATACCGGCTATACAGATACAGAAGCTGGTGTGTTACGCTGAAGGGCGGTTATACCGGCTATACAGATACAGAAGCTGGTGTGTTACTCTGAAGGGCGGTTATACCGGCTATACTAATACAGAATAATTGAATGACAAAGTTCTTGATTCACAACGACTTGTTTAACATTATATAATAACAAGAGCTGACATTTCGATGACCGTCTGAATATGACAAAACTTCATTGAAACAAGTTTGTGAATAAAGAAGTTTGCTAGTTAGTCCTCAATTGAATTTTAATGTAAAACTCTTTATATCTATGTAAAACTGTTTAATATTTATGTAAAACTGTGTGTTTATGTTAAACTGTTTATATTTATATTTATAGAAACCAACTACTAGTATTTACTACTGTGTCCAAAATGTTGGGCATATATTTACAATAAACTTGTTATATATTGATTTCAGCCACCACCACCCCCACCTGCACCGGCAGCAGCCCCACCCCCTCCTCCCCAACCCCCGTGGCAGCCATGCCCCCTCCCCCACCCCAGCCGCAGCACCCCCCACCCCAGGGGCTCGAGTTGTCGCCAGCCCGCTGGCCAAGAAGCTTGCAGCAGACAAGGGCATTGACCTCTCTGTGAGTACATGTGTATGTGATAGTTAGAGTTAAAGTTGCAAGTGCTGTGTATCAATTTACTGGAACAGTTCCAGACTTCTAAAAATGTTTAGGTTCAAGTAAAAACTTAAAAGGCAAGAACCAGTTCCAGAGTTAATAAAACAAACCATGTCACATACCCCCTTTTCTTTCCAAACCACCTTAAACCTTCCATAGATTGCAAAATCTGTGCTGCAAAATAAAAAAAACATTGTCATCAGGCATCGTCAAGTGTCAGCCTCCATGTTATGTGACCACAGTTTTGCCCAGACAACATTGCAAGGTTGCCAACATATATAGACTGTACCAAGTGTAGGCTAACAAAAAAAAATGAATCCCCCCCCTACAGATGGTGAGTGGTACAGGCCCGGGTGGAAGAATACGCTCGCAGGACATCGAAGCCTTCACACCTGCAGCTGCACCTGTGCCAGCTGTAGCACCTGCTGCACCTGCTGCAGCACCTGTCGGGACGTTTGTGGACATCCCTCTCACAAACGTCAGGAAGGTATGCAGTTTTTCTTTACAGTGTTTTGAAAATGTTAGTGGGGAGGGGGGCAAGAGAACTTTTGCATGAAGAAAATCCAAGTATAACAGAAAGACAAAGCTTAAGAAAATGTTCAAGAGTGAACTTAAGAATAGGTTCTTGTCCAATCCTTACTTAAAAGTGGAACAGTCAATCCTTAGCACAATCAACTAATTCCACCACCATTAAAACCTAGGTATGGAAAAAAACACTCAAAAAACATGATGCACATTCTGACCCACTCTCTTATTGGTCAAAAAGCTAATTGCCATTCTCCCATTGGTTGAACTGCTAATTGTGATGGACATTCAGGATTTGCTCATGAAGTTTGAAGGTATGAAGTAAATGCACTCCACTATTGTTGAACTACAATTGTGTAAACCAAAGTAAAGTCCTATATAAAAATACATATGTGGTTATGAGTTGTAGATTTAAAAGAAAAGAACTTAAAGTAACTTTTTATCTTGTCTTTGTGTCCAGGTCATTGCCAGTCGACTTCTACAGTCCAAGACCACCATCCCACACTACTATCTATCTGTGGATATTAACATGGACAATGTTATAGGGTAAGTCTCCTAGGTTTTATTTCTGATATATCACCAAAAGAAATTCAGTGTACCAATCTTCTGTGCAAGCATGTTCAAGTCAACATATATGTACATGTATCATGTATGTACATATACATGTACATTGTACACTCATTGGATGATATTTACAGATAATGTTAAGCATTGTAATTTTCGTCAGTGTACATATTAAATTTCTATTATATTTGAAAAAAACATGTAATATTACGCCTTAAATGAAAGTATAAAAGAGATAAGAACCAATAAAGAACAGTTAATTCTTTAGAAGGACGCAGACATTCAGTTTTCATCAATGATATTTTCTTAAGTAACTCTTTCTTTCCTTCTTAAGGCTGCGGAAGGAATTGAACGCCATTCTTCAGAAAGACGATATCAAGATATCTGTGAACGATTTCATCATCAAGGCAGCAGCACTGTCCTGTCTGAAGGTGCCAGAGTGCAACTCTTCATGGATGGACTCAGTTATAAGACAGTGAGTACAATTAAGGCCGCAGAACACAGTATTTATGGGCGACCCCCGGGTCTATGACGCGGGTACAGAAAGTAGTGCAGATAAACCTCTTGCATCCTGGCTAGAGCGACTTATGTGAGTGGTAGCCATGAATGAACTGCGCTTTGTGGTATAGAAAGGTATCGGCTTGTACACCGTATGATTTGGATTGTGGAGATTTCCCTGTTCGTGTATAAATGCGCGGCATTACGCAACAACGTTCCAGGGTGAGCCGGCTGCAGTTCCATTGACCCTGGTAGAGGGCCAAATCAAAGTGGTTGTCATTATGTTAAAAAACGATACCTTCTTTCGGTTTTCAGTCATTTTGTAGAATATACCGTATATTTCCACATATTAGTTGGCCGTGATTCTCTAGTGCACCCTACTATAATTTTTACCGCGTCGAAGTGAGTCACCTCGGAGTGCTTAACTATAGGAATCCCCATAGGCCGAAAACTGTGTTCTGCCACCACAACTACATCGCAGCATAGGGATGCCACCTAGCAGTTGTTGTCTGAATTGCAGTTAAATGTAGCACTTGTTCATGAAGTGCTACACTGTTGAAACCATCTCTGCTGTCTTTCCAGATACAATAAAGTGGACATGAGTGTAGCACTACACGTAATTCAGGGCTCATCACACATGGTCACAGTACAGGGATGCCACCTAGCAGTTGTTGTCTGAATTGCAGATAAATGTGGAGCTTGTTCATGAGGCTTTTACTGTTGCAACCATCCCTGCTATCTTTCCAGATACTAGTTCAATAAAGTGGATATGAGTGTAGCTGATAGCACTGATTCAGGGCTTATCACAGTCTGAACTATGGTCACTGCACAGGGATGCCTCCTAGCAGTTGTTGTCTGAACAGCAGTTACATGTAGAACTTGTGCATGAAGCCCCACTCTGCTGTCTTTCCAGGTACAATAAAGTGGACATGAGTGTAGCTGTGAGCACAGATTCGGGGCTCATCACACCTATTGTCTTCAATGCACATACAAAGGTTTGTACAATACAAAATATCATAACTTCTTACTATAGTACTCTCTGTGCACCAAGGTTTTGTATTTGGTGTTTTTGTGTTTTTTCTTGTGCGTTTGACAGGAAGTTAGGTCTAATGTTCCAGAAAGATTTCAGAAGAGGTTATTTCATTTCCTGTCACTTTATGAATCATATGAGCCAGAGGGAACAAGTGTAGATACATTGTATTTACAATAATTATTAAAACAGGAAAATCATACGACATGTAAGTCAAATAATACTTGGATTATAGAAATTCTTTTAATGTCACTGGGCACGTGCATCATCTAGTATTCAGACAACACAAAGCCAGTTGTTCCAGAAGAAAAAAAAGATTCAAGAAAGGTACATTGTATGAAAACAAAGTTTACATAATTTATAACGTATTTTAACATGATTTATTTTTTTAAACAGGGCCTGGCAGCCATCAACTCTGATGTAACCAGTCTTGCAGCCAGAGCCAGGGAAGGCAAGCTACAGTTACAGGAATTTCAGGTACAAAATGTAACATGTCCAGCATAATTACCAGATCAACCAATGAGAGAATGGCAGTTAGCAGTTTAACCAATGAGAGAATGGCAGTTAGAAGTTCAACCAATGAGAGAATGGCAGTTAGTACTTCAACCAATGAGAGAATGGCAGTTATCAGTTCAACCAATGAGAGAATGGCAGTTAGCACTTCAACCAATGAGAGAATGGCAGTTAGCACTTCAACCAATGAGAGAATGGCAGTTAGCAGTAAACCAATGACAGAATGGCAGTTAGCCTTTCAGCCATTGAGAGAATGACAGTTAGCACTTCAAACAATGAGAGAATGGCAGTTAGCAGTGTCCAATGTGGCAACTTTTTGGTGGTCCCTTAGATAATTTTGTTTACAGTAATCCTGTCTATAGTTAACCACCTCTCCACAGATTTTATTTGACCCCTGTGTGGTCTTCTTGGGAAATTTTACTGTAAAAATGAAATGAAAACAAGAAGCCATAGGTGACAATCCTCCGTGAAGTTTTATATATTTCAACAAAATCCCAAGCGTCAACGCCAGACCTACTATGCAGACATTATAATTAGGCAACGGTTAATACAATGAGGGCGCGTCACAAGCATAAAACATACAAAGAGCTAAATCCATTACTGCTCCCAGGGCGTGTAAAGATACTGTGCTTCAAGTTCGAAGTTCATTTTAATTACACACACACAATCATTGCATTCACATAAAGATCAGACTATCATGGTCGTGTCTAGTAACAAAGACAGCCCCACCTGTTAGGGAAGCGAGTGTGGGAGCCCCGGCATACAAGTAGAATGGTACCCAGGCTACGTCTTACCGTGCCTGTACCTAATTAAGCGCGCCTGTAACAGGCCAAATTCCAGCAACAGTTGCGGTAAGCACCGCGAGTGTTACTACCGCCGGCCAGATAACCAGGATATCTGCTTATAGTACCTCTGCTACCAGACAACTGCCTATATAGCTAAACCTACGGCCTATTCCACAGGATTGTAAAAGTAGGGATGTTTCTAAAATATGCATTTACTTCAATATCAAAACAGCTACGGTAAAAATAAAAAGACGTGCATCATCCCGGACATAATGCCACACCACATGCGAAATTACACAGAAATGCGACGTACGGAAGAATGCATTTTGGCTGCGAACATCTTCCAAAAAACTTGGCATCTCTTAAGCATGGGCAAAAACATCTGGAACCACTTATCAAAACCACCCCGTATCTGCATGAAGTTCCACCCCCCCCACTGCTATTCCAAACAACGCGTTTTTCTGGACCATTCCAATTTGCCTCGTAATTGTAGGGGTGCGTCTGCAATATTACATTGACCGCGAAAGCAGCAACGGCAAAAATACACATTCGTGCATCAACACGGGCATGCCCGCAGACGGCCTATAAAATTGCGTGCTGATTACACAAAGAGAACCCAGTGTTTTGACTGCGAACATGAAAAATCAGCCGATCACAACACTCCGTCCGGAGGTCCTGACCTCCTTCACGGAGTAATAACCTTTTTTTTTCTCACATGTTTAGGGAGGAACCTTTACAGTGTCCAACCTGGGCATGTTTGGGATAAAGAATTTCTCGGCGGTGATTAACCCTCCTCAGGCCTGTATCCTGGCTATAGGAGGGGCTGTCAAGACTGTGGTACCCGACCAGGATGCAGAGAATGGGTAAACATTTACAAATTAGTTTTACAAATTAGTACAAAAACTTTACAAATTAGTCCCTCCTTCTCCATTTTCAAAAATCATACTAAAGTAGCTTTCATAAATAACCCCACACATTCCTAATTTTTGTTTATGTTCCTTGTTTACTACTTTCATTACTATTTTTCATTATTGTAGATAGTATTGTATCGTATTGTATTTTATTGTTTTGTTTATTCACCCGTTACCTAAGTTATTTCTTATTTATCCGATTTATTTGATTTGTTAATCACGTTATGAAGGGAGGCCACCTCATAAGCATTTTATGCTTCCGGCCTCCCTGCACTGTTACATTTCATTTATATTTTCTTGTATTTGTATTGTTACATTTTGTTTTAAAGTGCGAAATAAACTAGAAACTAGAAAACATTCAAAACATGCAATAGATGCCATTGTGAGAAGGTTATAAAATCAGTCTGTTTTAGTGTGGGAGACTTCTGATTTAGCGACATAACTCTTGAAGGCATGGTTCAATGTTCATGATTTTTGGCAGACAGGTTACCGTTGGGGAGACCAAGGTCAAGTGCAAAAATAGGCTTCGTGGGGTGTCCCTAGAACAATGTCCCCCTGACAAAGGCATCGGGCAGGATTCGAACCTGGAACCACTTGGTTCTGAGTTGAACACAATCATGAACAAAACAGTAACACAGCTTATAAAATTAATTTGTTCTTAAACAGTTGTTTTGGTACACTGTTCTTAATTTTGCACACAAAAAAAAAAAAATTGAAACAAGGCAAGATGCTCTACCCAAAGAGCATTGACATGCAGTTCGTACGTGTCCTGCTAGAGGTCCTCGTTGACACATGCTGTTTGTTTTGCAGACTGAGTGTGGCGACCATGATGAGTGTAACGCTGAGCTGTGACCACAGAGTGGTGGATGGGGCAGTCGGGGCACAGTGGCTACAGGAATTCAAACTTTACCTCGAGAAACCCGAGACCATGTTGTTGTAACAACTGAATTCTCCAGAAAAAAAACAACAACAATAACAACACATAATAGAACTTATAGCATATTTTATGTAAAATGTTTGAGAGTTTTCTATAGGTTCAAAACATAATAAATCTTATGATAAGCTATAATTTCAAAGTTATAACCTGTGCAAAGTTGATATTTAAAAATGATTTCTATGAGAACGTTTGTGTCTGCTAGTGAGAATTGTAGGGCATCGTCTTTCAAATTATCTTTAGATACAGCAAGGGGACGGGACAAAATGTAACAATTTTTGGACAAATGTAAAATTTTTACGCTAAAATTTTTTGTGAGATGAAAGAAAAGCGATTCAAAGTTGCTTCATCAGAGATGATTTCAATGTAGAAAATGTATTTTGAACAAGGTACATCATTCTACTAAAATCGCTATGTTCTATTGTGTCACACCATGGTTAGAATTTCATTCATTTTAGTATGACCAACCAATAACCCAACAACGGACAACAATGATCAACTCATGCAAATAAACATTTGTTCCGTGAGGCTGACATTTTTTTTTGTATCAGTGATTTTGTTCAAAGATATTCAGCAGAATAGCAATGTTTGTTTCCAAACACTAGTCGGCCTTTCAATGCATATGATATTGTGTCTGTTATCTTCATCAGGGCAATTATGACTATCTGTATCAGTATAGCCAGTATAACTGCCCTTTGGGGTAACACACCAGCTTCTGTATCAGTATAGCCGGTATAACCGCCCTTCGGTGTAACACACCAGCTTCTGTATCTGTATAGCCGGTATAACCGCCCTTTGGCGTAACACACCAGCTTCTGTATCTGTATTGCCAGTATAACCGCCCTTCGGTGTAACACACCAGCTTCTGTATTTGTATTGCCAGTATAACCGCCCTTCGGTGTAACACACCAGCTTCTGTATCTGTATAGCCGGTATAACCGCCCTTTGGCGTAACACACCAGCTTCTGTATCTGTATAGCCGGTATAACCGCCCTTCGGTGTAACACACCAGCTTCTGTATCTGTATAGCCGGTATAACCGCCCTTTGGTGTAACACACCAGCATCTGTATCTGTATAGCCGGTATAACCACCCTTCGGTGTAACACACCAGCTTCTGTATCTGCATAGCCGGTATAACCACCCTTCGGTGTAACACACCAGCTTCTGTATCTGTATAGCTGGCATAACCGCCTTTTGGTGTAACACACCAGCTTCTGTGTCTGTATAGCCGGTATAAACGCCCTTCGGTGTAACACACCAGCTTCGCAGGCACGCGGCGTGGCGGCAGCTAGCTATGTCACACCGAACGACTTGTTACACTCAATCTTTGCACATTTTATTGCGGGAGTTGTTTAAGGTTTCTAGTGATGATGCCCAAACTGTGCTTGGTGGCAACCAGTTCCAGTCTACGATAGTTCTGGGGAAATACGAGTTTTTGAACACCTCAATTCTTGGTTGATAACTCTGATATATAAAGGCATGACTGTTTCTTGTTCTTTTCTGGGCTGGTATCAGATACTTAGTGGTGGTACGTCCACCAGTTTATTAGTGGTGTTTATTTGAATTTACCACGAGTGTGGAAGGGAGGACAAACCAGGTGCATTGACACCTTTACAAGTTGTCCTCCCAAATACTACAATAGAAATACAGATTGCAATATTGAATACAAAACAGGTTACAATATTGGACAAAGTTAACATGAAATACAAATACCTACAGTATCGTCATGCATGGGGTCGGCCCTATGTTACGACAGCCCTATGTTACGACAGCCCTATGTTACGACAGCCCTATGTTACGACAGCCCTATATTACGACAGCCCTATGTTTTGACGCCCCCTTTTTTCAACGCGATTATGGCTATGTTCAGACACCAAATGATAAATTGTAAATGTATGGAGTGTAATGATCTCGAAGAAAATTTTCACGTAATAAATTGTCACTGACAGTGTTTCCGCCAAACTGCAGCAGAGATCCTGAGAGGCCGTCCAGTTGGGAAGGGCCGGGTCGCGAAAATTAATTAACTAAGGGAACACGTCGCGAAAATTAACTGAGGGGGCGGGGCATTTGTTTACACTTGTTAACAAGTTGAAACTGTCCACAAGCATTCCACATTTTTTTTACAAGTGTTGACATTAAAAAAAAACACTGCTACAAATAGGCGAAACGTATCGCCAGTAATAATACTTAATTAGGACATTCTGCTGCAAGACTCCGAACATCGGCATCATTTAATTGTAACCTCCAGTAGCGCCTGCGATAGCCGGATTTTAATAGTGAAGAGCCTTGCTTCGTCCGTACTTCTTCCGTACTAGCAACATTTCCGCTGTAAAGAAGCGTCATCTTATCTCTCATACACGAGACAAATTCTGAAAATAACTTGGCTGTATCGTAGCTTTCATTGCTGTTTTATTCAACAAAAGTGCTCCTTGGTTGTAAAATGATCTCTTGTCTCCAGTACAGTGTCAAATGGTAGCGTGATCGTAGCGTGCGAAAAATCGGCGTTAAAAGTCAGAAAATCGCTGGAAAATAACTTGCAGCACACATTCGCTACCTCGCCGTAGAAGAAAATACGCGCATTTTCTCATTAATATAATGCTAATATGTAAGTAGCAGCGTGAACTCTACGCTCTGATTCGTTGACCTCATATGACCTGCACTCTGATTGGATAGAGCCATCTTTGCAGAGCTGCAGTTTGTTTGTTGGCGAAGAGAGTTACACTACGCTACTTTCTACGGTGTTTCTACCACTAACATTCCATTAAAGAAATTCATTATTAAGAATTTTTGGGAAAATGTATGTATCCATATTGAGTGGTGCCTTTCGCGTATTCAAGCAAGCCGGAAGTGTTAGCGAACCGCGGCGTGGATAGCGAACTGCGGCTCGGATTTTCATGCAACCCGCCCGCTACAAGACCATCAAAAACGTAACTCCCAAAAGAGAATTTTCAAATCCGAAATGATTTTGTTCAAGGAGAAATATTAGTGGATACATTTTACTGGATGGAAACTTGAAAAACGGGCTTGAATGAGATTAACGTATGCGAAAGGCGCCGACATCAATTGTTCGTCAGCATACGTATAACAATAACAATAGCTGTCGTAACATAGGGCTGTCGTAACATAGGGCTGTCGTAACATAGGGCTGTCGTAACATAGGGCTGTCGTAACATAGGGTATGAACCTCATGCATCTGCATTTTTATGCTTTTTTATACGTTATGTTTACCGAAGGAAAACGTTTTTACTTAGTTTCTTCCTCTTCTTCTGTTCCAAGCACTAACCTCTGCCCTGGCCAATGACAAGGTTTGTTGAAGTCTTTCACCATGGTGATTGGTGTTGGGTTACATTATGTTGCAATTTCATGGTCTGCTCTACTCCTGTCACCATATACTACTAGTACATGTATGTGAATGTGTTTGAGTAAAAATTAACAGGGCAGACCATGTCTGAAGGTACATGTAAACATTATGCATTTGCTTTGCTAATGTTACTTTTCTAGTTGATATTTTTTTTCGCCTCGAAGAAGTTATAGTACGCTCGAATACGGCCTCGACATTCAGTGATAAGGCAACGACCGTTTCAAATGCTGGTTTGTTACGGCGAAGGGAGATTATACCGCGAAGGGAGATGTGTCCGATAGCATACACAGATAAGCTTATGCACGTTAGAGGTAAATAGAGTTAAACGGACGTCGGTTCTATTTCTGTATCTGTATCTGTGTATGCTATCGGACACATCCGGCATAGAAAATGTTCCAAAACGAATTGGCCAAACTGTCTTAATTTTATGGATGACATCCTCTGAAGACCCCCAAAGTAGTGCGCGCGGGCGAATTAAAAAAAAAACAGCCCCCTCCCCCTCCTAAAAAATACTGCTAAACCACAGGAATACAAAGCTGGTATTGTGAATTTGTGGTAGTACATAGCGACGGTCGACGTTTACGACAAGCCGGCACATGCTGGCTTTTTACGGCATTTATGAGTCTGCACTGTACTGAGTTATTAAGTTACATGGAGCTTCGGCAGCCTGGGTGCCGTCCTCCGTAGTTACCACCGGCTCCATATTGTCACTAGCTACCATGGACTACGGAGGATGGCACCTAGGCCAGAGCCTCGGAGGACGTTTTTTTATGTTTACTGAAGGAAAACATATTGTTTTTACTCAGTTTCTTCCTCCACTTCTGTTCCAAACACTTACCTCTGACCTGGCCAATGATATGATTTGTTGACGTCTGTCACCATGGAGACTGGTGTTGGGTTACATAATGTTGCAATTTCACGGTCTGCTCTACTCCTGTCACCATATACTAGTAGTACATGTATGTGAAATGAATGTGTTTGAGTAAAAAGCCCCTAAATATTGACGTACCGGGTGTGGATTCTTCAATCCCCAGAGATGTGGCCAATGCAATCAACAGACACCTGTCGTCAGCCTCCCAACAATTCCCTCCATTGAAACTGGAAGACTTACCGCCTTACCTACCTGCTCCAGCCCCTCCTCCGGAGGTGTCCTTCTGGGATATGTTCCACAGACTTCAAAGGGTTAAGTTAAACAAGTCTGCCGGCCACGGTGGTCAAATCTGGGCTGCAAAGTTCCCACATGTCATAGAACCCGAACTGTGTTCGATCGTGTTCGATCTGGGGAATTCGAATCGAACCCGCGTTCCATTTCGGGGTCACCTGCGGTCATTTACAATAAAGCGGCAAAACAAGCCCTTCTGCCTGAGTGCCTCGCAATAGATAAAAAACAGCACTTTCCTATAGATACAGACAGTTTCCTGGACAGTACATGTCCGCTATAATTTTTGGTGGGTATGTAACATGTAGCGAAGCTACTGTCGTATCCTTGGGTGACCTTGAATACTGTAATGATTCTTTACACCAGTATGAATAACACAAGGCAGACTTTCTGGCGATATGACATGTCTCCAAAACTCGAGCAAACCTGGAAACATGGAGAGTCAAACATACCCCATTTACGGCTCAAAATGACTGTAACGGTTGTCCCGAATAGGGATTTTTGAAAAATGG